CACCACCGCCAACCGCCACGCCCGCGCCCGCGCCCGAATCCTTCAGCCCTGCAGCCCTGCCAGCCCTGCGCGCGCACATCCCCCAACCACGCCACCCCCTTACCCACCTCTTATCCATCCTTCCCTCGATCCTTCCATCCTTAACACGCCCCTTCCCCCACAACGCACCACAAGCAGGCAGACAGGCAGACAGGCAGGCATCCGAGCCCAAGCCCGTGCCCGCACGCCCGCTTGCCCGCCCCGCTTCGCTACAGCAGGTCCGTGCGCGAAGGATTTAGTAACAGGCGCGCGGGAAGTATGGTGTAGCTAGTGGAGCAGGATCGAGTTTGGCGTGGCGTGGCGTGGCGTGCGCTTTGTTCTGCTGGCGAGGGCCCAGGCTGGTGCTTTTTCCGGTGTGGGTTGCGTGGGTGTAGCGGAGAGCGGGGGAGGGGCGGAGGTATGTGTATGTGTGTGCGTGTGCGTGCGTGTGTGTGTGTGTGTACGACAAAACCACACCACGTCGGCCGTCCAGTCCAGTCGAGTCAACCCGCGCGATCCCGAGTCAAAACCGCGCTTTTCGAGTCGTGAAGCGGCGGCCGAGTCGTACTGTGCACTTGCGACTCATCCCGCGCCCTTACAAGTCATTCCGCCCACTGCGAGTCGTACACCCCAAAAATACCGAGTCAATCCGCAACCCAAAAAGCAACGGGCATCGCGACGGGCATTCTAACAAGCCGCTCAACCCCAGAGCCAGGGACCCCCTGCCCCCAAGCCTTCTCCTCGACTCGTCTCGACTCGACTCGACACGAACCTCGTAATGCGCGGGACGGGTAGTTTAACGTTATCGGCGGGCGGGCGATCGATCGATCGGTAGTGCGGGGAATGTCGTGATGCGGGGACGGCGAGTCGTGGATCGAGGTGTTTCTTCTCGGCGGCGAGAGTGCGCTAGGCGGGTAGCTGGCAGTGTTCGTGGTGCGGGTGCGGCGAGTGCGTCGGAGTTCGAGATGAGTGCGTGTATGTATCGCGTCACGCGAAGGGCCATGGCGTAAGTTGAGCAGCGATGAGACAGAGGGTAAGAACGGCAACAAGCGCAATGCAAAACCCAACAACGATAACAACAGCAGCAGCGGCAGCAGGAACAGTGGAGACAGTAGAGTAGTAGTAGTCATGCATCGCGAACGCACTCGTCAGCGCGCGCGCAATGTCGCGTAAGTATTAGGTAGCGGTATGAGTAAGTTAGGTAGGTAGGTAGCGTAGGTGAGTGAGGCGGAGTAGTGTGGGTATATGTATACATGGCGTGTCTTTTCCGGCGCAACAACAACAAAAGAGGAAGGGTATTTAGGCCAGCACTGACAGAAGAGCGACGGCATGAGGTGGAGAAGAAGAATCGAAACGGGAAAAACAGAGACAGAAACACGCAGACGTTAAGGAAAAGAGAGAATAAACGCAAGGGGAAAAAAGGGGGGACAGAGATGCGTGTGGCGGTGCTTGCATGATGTATACATAACACACGCAAGACAGAAAAAACAGAGCTTTTATCACATCACATCCTGCAGCACATGACGCGCATGCACCTACCCCCTCTGCCAAGCCAACGGCTCCTCATCATCCTGATGATGGTGCGCCTGGTGATGAAACTGGAAGCCATCAGGATGCCGATCCTCCTTTGAGCTCCTGGAGCTGCTGCGCTCGCTCGGAGGGAACACACCCGCGGGGTCTGAATGCGGCCCACTGCTCGCTGCGTCGTTGGCATCCGACACTTGCACCGTCCACTCGCGCTTGGTGAAGATTTGATTGGCGCCGCCGGCGCAGCCTGCGTCGGCCGCCGAGTCCGGCGGGCTGTCAAAGTGCTGCGTCGTCACCTGCGTCGACACCGTCGCGTCCTTGCTCTGGCTCTCGGCGAACACGGACAGCGGCACCCCCTTTCCGTTGATCGTGTCGTTGGCTGGGCCCGACGTCGTAAAGCCGCGGCGGTGGCTCGTCGACGTGTCGCCGATGCGGTCGCGAACAGACTCTTGGGAAATGCGGGTGATGAGGTTCGTCATGGACAGCTCGATCTTCAGCTTAACCGTGTACGCGATCGGGTGGAATTGCATGAACACGACCGGGTTGCTCAGGAACATGGTTCCGATGATGAGGCACTATAGATTGTGAGCGTGGGGTCGACAGGGGGGCGTTGGGGGCGAGATCGGGTTAGTTGATTGCGTGCATGAATGCAGCGATCTGGGGTCGGGGTGGGGGGAGCCGGGTTGGGGGCCGCGACGGAGCTTTTCACTTACATCCATGCCGACTGAGATCAAAATGATGCGCGTGTTGAAGTTGGCCAGCGCCGTGTACTTTTGCAGACCGTTGGCAATCAGCCGCTTGCGCACCTGCTGGATGAAGTAGAAGTTCAGGCAGGCATCGTTGAGGCCAATGAGCACCTTGGTGATCTTGTCCCACACCTCGTTGACTTCGATGTAGCTGCACACAACTGTCAGAAGGAATTGGTCTCCACCGTCCTCGGCGCTGGCTGACTCACGTATCGTTGACTTGCATCTGCGCGGGGATCCAGATGCAAAAGACGGAGATGTTGACGAGCATGATGAAAATGACCGTGCCCCAGCGGATATAGTTGACCATTCTCCGGTGCATACTGATAATGGCGACTCGATTGACGATAATCTGGAGGATGAATTGCACCTCAAAAACCCATAAGGCCACTGGTGATTGAGTCAGTGCGGGCATCGCCAATGGCAAATGCGTCAGGACGTACATATAAAGAAGAATGTTGCAAATCTGCAGCAAAGGGTCAGCGGGCGCGATCAGGCGGCCAGGCGAGCGACTGCGACGCACATTGGTTTTATCACTCCTTCTAAGAACAGCCAGGCCATGATGGCGATGGCCAGGTTGACGGCCAGCTCGCCCCAGACCATCCAGACGAACAAGCTCCGCAGCGGGTTGCGGTTCCGCATCGTCATCTTCCAGGCGTCCCATGCCGTCAGGTAGCCAAAGCCCAGGGTGAAGCCGAAGGCTATCGAGGCGATCTTGATGTCGGTCGACGACATAGTGGGAGTTGCGAGGGCAGCGGTGGGGAATTCGTGGTGTTGATGGCCAGGGTCTCGTCGCGGGTCGGGGGTTCCGCCAGCGGGTTAAAGAGCAGGAGACGTCCCAAACAGAAAATTGGCCAGGGTTACAGGCTTAAGTATGGAAGCGGTGGATACCCTTAGCCGGCAGCAGGGGCCTTGCGGAGAGAGGGCGATGTCGAAGGGTCAGTCAGACTCAGATAGGGTTCGCCATGGTCAAATAGCTAGCATGGTTTGGGGTTCGTCTTGCGCATGGGCTGATATGGGTAGGGACTCGGATTGCCGATGGCCATGTCGGCTGGGTCGGGACACAGGGCGTGTGGTTGCGGTGGGACCTGGCGCGCCCCCAGACCGTAGAAACATAAGCGGCCGACTTCCGGACAACTTGACAGCTCGGGAAGCGTTGCGCTGGGTCGTGCACGCCCACCAACACCCACCACACTGCCCCATCTGGCAAGGGGCGTGACTGGACGAGCGAAAACCGGGCGTCGGCAGGTTCCGCTCTTTCATGCAAACGCCTCATCTCCGACCGCGTGTTTCGTAGCCACGTTCGCGGTCCACTCTCACGAGACGCCGTTGGCGTAAGGCAGCGTGCCCCTTGGTGCGCGTCCTCGTCCCAAGCTGGGGGGAGCCTTCGAGCTGTCGACCTTTTTGCCCTTGGTGTGGAAAAAATCCTCCGAGCCCCTTGTAGCGGGGGCGGGCGGTGTGATTCTTGCTGCCTCTGTGTATACTCGTCCAATGTACACGAAACTCCTGCCATGGACTGTGTGCGAAGATCGCAATCGCGGCCCGGTGCAGCCGCGACAAAGAGAAACTCCCACGGCACTCGCCATGTGCAGACGATACATGATCTTCCCGCCGCATGAGCGATCGCCTGCAATGTGCGATCCAATTCCTCTTATATACGCCCGGAAGCGTAATAGCTGCCCCGCCGACCCGACTGCAAGATGCGCCCGCCTGGGGAAATCATTCTCTCGCGCGACGCCTGCCGCTTCGCCAAACTCCCAAGCGCAACGTTTGATCGCCGCCTCAATCCAATAGCGCAGGACCCGCCGCCGCCATGCAGCTGACCTTGTTCAGGTCGAGCGACAGGTGCGGGACGCCTCACAGGCGGCCTGTGTGGCGGCGCCCTGCCGTCTTGGGTCGACTACGTCGCCTCCGCCGCCTCCGCAACGGGGCCAGACTCCACCACGGGTCCTGAGCGCACGCGGCTCGTCGCAGTGTCTGTCCCGTCCTGCCGTGTGTGTGCGCGGTTGTTTCCTTGCGAGGTGTGGCGAGCCTGCTGCCGGTCCGTGGTGATTGGGAAGGACTCTTAGGCGAGCTGGCGCGCAGCCCGCGGATGGTCCTCAAGGCGGGGCGGGTCGCGAGCGAAGATTTGGTCGCAGCCATGTACGGATTGGTACGGTACCAAGTACGGCTTCATTCCGCTGGGCTGGGAGATATAGCGTTGGGCCTTCAGGCTGAGCCTCTGCGCGAGGCCAGGGCCGGCTGTTCGCCCGGCATGTAGGTAGGTTGCGCCGACGCCGCCGAGATCCCTTCCGGTACTCAAAATGCCGACGTAATCCCGTTTCTGATTGAGTGAGGCTTTTCATTGCTGATTCTATCCAGTCTGCCGTCTGTTCCGGCGTTGAGGTTGAGGGACGCGTCTCGTGCGTCGACGTTGACCCAGACGGTGCGCGCGAACTTTAAGAAAGTCCCCGCGCTGGGCAGGGCGGCGGAGCGGAGCGGAGTCGCGCGGAAGTTGACTAATCATGCTCGGCACACTCTGGCACCTCGGGGTCGCGATTTCACGCCTTGCCATCCAATTGCACGGACACCGCCTCTCCCATCACGGTGTGGACAAGGTCATGTCATGCCAGGGTGTCCCCTGGTGTTACCTGGGGTGTTGCATCCCCATCCGGCAACCCCTTGGCCAGGATCAAAAAGATTTACATCGAAGCTCTCTGACAAGGAGACGGCGACCCTCTGACGTGATGCGCTCCCGTCCTACCCGTTGTACACCGTACGCAATAATTTTCATTTTGATCTGGCCGTCGCACACCTGCATTCGAACCGTCTGTCTTGCGACATCAAGGACGCGCAACCTGTCAGATCCCTACTCCGCTAGAACCCTGACCTCAAACGGGAGGTTCTACAGCACAACCAGCACCTTGTCGACAACCTTGCTCTGGATGCTCCGCACGGGAACAGGTGCCACCTTGACTAGATTAACCCTGCCAAGTCGCGGGACCGAATCTATTTCTCGGACTAGCTTTTGCGCCAAAAAAGCGCGGAGAGAACTGGCTTCCCCGACAAGCCCCACTATTTCTATCGAAAGTGTCTCGAGCGACGCGGGAAAGATTTCTCCAGGCCCAGCGTTATCTGACCACTTGACGGTGACGCCCTTTCCGCGATACGACATTCCCGTGAGCATTGGCGCTGGGATCCTGAGATTCTTGAGCGCAGTGAACTCTACGAAGCTCCCCATCGGCGCAATTGTCATCCAGCGTTTTGGAAAGTCTACGCCCGAGAAGCGTGTCAAATTTCCCAGTGTGAGGGTTTCAAGTGTGTCTCTTACAGTGCTGATGGAGTTTAGCCTTCGGCGGAAATTTAGGGACTCGGTACTATCCTCGTTGACAAAGTTGGCACCGTCAAAATGAACGTCCGCGCATCGGTTTCCCAAGATGGTCAAATGCTTGAGAGCTTTACAGGGGCGCAACGTCCTCCATATCATCCACTCGGGCCATCTGCAATCTGTGAGGGATAGAGTAGAGAGATTCGAAACTCCAGAGGTATATTGGTTATCTTGCGGGTGCAGATCGGCCATTTTGGAAGTGGAAACCCGCATCGTGCTCAGGGAGGCGTCCTCAACAAATCTCTGCAGTGATGGTTGCTTCCAGGGCATGGCCATAGGATCTGAGTTCAGAAGGGTCATCAACGCCGGCTGATTGAAGAATTTAGGCCCTGTCCACCAAAGACTCCAACATCCGTGCTTCCCTTTTAGAATGAAGTTCAGGTACGTAAGTCTTGGTAACTGATTGAGCAGAAGCAGGACCTCCGCCCTATCATTGCCTTTCTCCAGGCGTGCAACGAGGTTGTCGCAGTCTGATGCGTTCACTCGACTGGCGGCCCGTATAACATCGGAATCGAGGGCTTCCTTAATTCGTCTTTTCTGTAAACGGGTTGTCATGCGCGAGAGTAAGATTTCTTGTCGTCGCGACGGATATGAAAATCCCCCATAGGACCATCGTACTATCTCGGCCTGAGAGGCAAGCTCCGGTCGACGAATAACGGTGCGTAGGAATTGTTCTCGCTTGTAGTCGTCGCCTGCATATGGGAACGTGTGATAAAGAAGAGGTTGAGCGACACGACAGAATTTGGTCGAGGCAAGGCAGAGACTGTACAGGCACTTCAAGTCCAAGCGTTCGGTGCGGGCCCACCACAGCGACAGCGTTTTAGATTTGACAGCAGGGAAATCTTTCGAGATTGTGTCAACGTCTCTGATACTGGGGATATGATAGGTGAAGATCTGGTGGCCCAGCTCATCCGGAAGGTCATCAATCGTGGCGGACTTCTTCTGGATATTAGCAGACGACGTCTCATTAACCTTTGTTGTGTCCGGAATCTGGCTCGGCAGGGTTTCTGGCATGTCAAATGCCCTCTGAGCACCTGCGACTCTTTTGTTTGCGACCTCGGCCTCATCCGGCTCCAATGGCCTCTTCTTCGGACAACGGCGCTCCTCGGCCATGTAGCTGACCTGAGCACGACGCAAATTGGCGATTTGTGTATCAGAGCAGTCGACGTTCGACAACAAGCGGGGTTGAATTAACGTCTGTTACACAACCTCAGCCCAGCTGATGTCAGCAATCACGTGTGCGGATCGCATCCAGTGACGGCGATGCATTGAAACAAAAGATCTCGGATCCGCTCGAACAAGCAAAGACAACGATTCCATGCCGCATCAATAAAGCTTATTGACCGCGTGATGGATCTCATTCGACGCGGCTACTTTCGTGTATAAGACGTACCGGATATACCACCAAAAGGATGGTCCTAGTGTTTCGCTAGCCGATGCTATAGCAAGGGATCATATACCACCACAACGGGAATAGCGAGATGGTCTCCTCCATCGCTCCGCGGATAACGTCTACCGCCGCAGCGGCAATACCCGCGTTATCACCGGCCATGACGATATTGTCAGATCGCAGAGCCTTTCCAGAAAATAAGCTACGAATTGAGTCAATCCAAGGAACTCATCATCGTATCGCTCCCAGTCTAGCGCGCTTTTTGAGCCGTCCCGGTCGGAATACGGTTTTAGGGGACGGGCCCGCTTGCTTGGCCGAGGCGTTGGTGTTGGCGTTGGCGTTCCTGTGACGGTTTAGCTGATGGCTGTGATCGCTCAACCTCTCTCTCACCTTCTTTTCGTCTCCTCTCTCCTTTGCCTCCTGATGCGGGATATTGCTCTCCTTTTTCAATGGCCTTGCTCCACCTTTGAATTCCCACCGCTATGCATCCCTCATTACTCTCTTCCCCACCAACTCCCTATCCACTTCGAATCTCAAACCCCTTTTCCCTGGCCCCGCTGCCATGGCACAAACCGCGGGATCATGCGTACGCCAACAACCTGCGCACCTTTTTGCCTGAGCCGTTGGTGGTATCGTCGAAGTCTTGATTGCGTACCCTGGCCGGTCCAGTCGCTACAACGTTTTTCGCTCGCCTATGCAGATCGAGTCCGGCAGCATTGAAACCCATTCACGTATCTGGGCGACGACAGCGCACACATAGTACTCGCTCACTCGCTAGCGGGAAGCGGTGGCCAGACGAACCGCGTTTTGCGAACTGTCAGCGCCTCAGCACTGTCGGAGTGACGAGACATTGGCGCCGGAGACCATTTCGTGACGATAAGGTTGCGGACCAGAGAGCTGGTGAGTGCATCGTATGCTAACGTGAACGCGAAGGTAAATTTAGCGTTGGCGGGTTGAAGGAGAAGGTATAGCTGCCCCAGTGATTTTTCGAGCACTGCGCGGTTGCGTGGTTAGTGGTTGCTTTGAGATGGAAAGACTGACCGGAAGAGCTAGAATTGATGCTGATGGTTGTCTGTTTCATGCCACTACGACGATGGTGAGCTTAGGAGGTGGCGGATGCGGAGAGAAGAGAACGGGAGCTGGAGGCGTTGTAGCTACTGCATGCCGTAGCCGATTTATCAAGAGAAGGTATGTTGCTACCTACTGACGACGCGATCAACAGTTGTGAAAGGAAAGAAATCAGTCAGTCCCTGTCGCGTGTCTCACTCACCTCCCCGAAATGAACAAAGACACTGCACTATAAACAGCACAAAAGCCAAACATCCAACTACTGTGGCAGCTAAGTGGCTCAGGCGACTAACTCACCACCTGTTTCATGGAGAACTTTACTACAGAATTTTTGAGACAGACGGTAAGGGAGAAAGGTTGCATACCTTAAAGCACATGGTTAATAAAAAATACTCGGATTTCTGATTTCTCACTCGACATTATCGAGTTGAGTAACTTGAGTTTTTGCTCTTTTTCTTTTTGTTCTTTACGTTAATAGTTGCAAGTATAACTATCTTTCCTTTAACTGTCTAATTCTATTGTTTCTATTGCAAGAAAAAATTTCAAGTTTTCTCGTCTTCCTATCTTTGCATCTTACTAGTTTTTTGCTTGGCCAAATCGTTGCATGATTAAGCTTTAAAAGCACAATGACGTTCCGAGGCACTGACAGTAGAACGACAGGCAAACCCAGCACGCGATTCTACGTCTCGCACAGTCCACAAGCGCACAACGCGTCCTTCTTTTCCTGTATATACGTGCTATCGACAACAACACCTCACTCGGACACTGCCCCCACGAGTCGATTGTGCACGACGACATCTTCGTATGCGTAACAGGGCTTGCCCTCAAGAATCTCAATCCAGACGATCCCGTGGAAATCCTTTACAAGGCCCGATCAGGTTTCCTCTGCCGAACCATGTAGACTTACGTACCACGGCACATCCGATCACAACCTCTTCAGGCGCATTCCCACGCCTATCCCGTACGTTGACGACCCAGACAAAAATAGCGACGGGGTGAGGTACATAGTAAGTTGAGAATTAGAGAAGGGGGCGCAGTTCATTGCCTCAAACACAGACCACGGACCAGCGCGCCTCCCACGTACCACGTCTTGTACCCGCGAGCAGCGCACCGCCAACAACGCCATAGCGCATACCTACGTAGCACCTAACGCACGAAAACACACCTACCAGAACCACGCACCAACGCACCTATCGGCAAGAAGCCAATCAAATCAAGCACCGGCCCGAGCACCGCAACAGTACGTTGTAGAATGTGTACTGTGCGTGGCGAAGTGAAGGGATGGCACTTATGACGCAGGACCCCGGAGCCGAGTTCGACCGCTCGAGGGCGATCGTCAGCGCGCTGAAACCCGCGCACTGACGCCTCCTCTAATCCCTGAGCCCCTGCTGCTCTGCTTTTCTTATTTCACTCACTCACTCAACACTCAGTTTCTGCTTGAGCGGAGGTCTGTCTCGCGGCTCTCGCTATATGGCGAGTAGAATACACTGTACGTGGTATGTCTCCTTTTTCTGTTAGGCCGGACTGTCGTGTGATTGTGCTTTGCTACGGTTGGTATGTGGGATTGACGGAAGTATGGGGTGTAGGCAAGAGCTCCGGCAGCAGATTTACTACTGTCCCTAAAGATCTAATTCCCCCTCCTAAATCAGCGTATCAAAAGCGAATCATTTACAGTTGACTGAGGTATACGCAAATGAGGACTCACAGCTCCAACTACACCGCGCACACAACCGATCGAATACCGTAGTCGAAAGCTATAGTGCTATATACACTATACAGCCGACAGTTTAGATCAAGTCTATACAGTTTAGGTTCAGGTGCATTCAGTAAGTTTATAGGTAGTTTTTGTTATTTTCTCGAGTAAAATGTTATAGTGTATTTATCCCGCTGCCAAAATGCTTGCGTCTTTATCATCAAACACGCCTAGTCATGTCGTTTATTATTTCATCGACACTATCTTTTCTCCTTCATAATCACTCCTTCTCCTTTTCATCCCTCTTTTCCTCCACTTTCTCCTCTACTTTCTCCTCCTCATCTTCCTCCTCTTCGTAGCCCCAAATTTCAACACTCTCAACCTCCACCTCCATCTCAGTCTGTACTCCTTCACTAGCAGCAGCATCGTCTCCATCCCCACGTCTAACCCGTCCCGTCCTAAACCTCACTCTCAAACTCCCCTCCTCCTCGCCCTTTTTAAGCACCAACCGTCCTCCACAAAACCTCACCTCGTCCTCTTCCTCCTCCCAGCCAACTATCCCCTCCACCCCCTCATGGAAACGCACCATAGGCTCCAGCACAAAAACTCCGCACCGGCAGCTGTTAGAATAGGGACGGGGTTGGATAGACGCGCGGTCGGCGCTGGGGTAAGGCGTGTAGATGCCCACGATGTAGGGCGTGCCCTTCGCGTCGCGGCCACGCAGTAGAAGAAATCCGTGCGTGTCGACCGAAGCGAGGATGCGGGCTAAGGATGCGGGCGCTGTCGGAGGGTTTGTAGATGGCTTAGATAGCGTTGTGGTGTGGTGGTGGTATACTTTCAGCTCTTCGAACCAAACGGATTGATTGAAAAAGATGTTTAGTTGGGCGATGCGGGCGTGGGTGAAGATCGGTGGATGAGTAATGCTGGCGATGCTGGTAGAGTACTTTTCGTTGGCTGGGGTGAAGTCGAGGGGGTCGTTGAAGTCATGGGGCTGGAGGCCCGAGAAGAGGCATTGGGCTGTAACTCTGTATAGGGGCTCGAGGAGCACGGGCTGTTCTCGTGTTAGTTTTCTTTTTTGCCTGCAGAATTAAAAAAAAAAAAAAAATAACAAAGGAATAAAGATCAAACTCACCATTGACGCAAATCCCTCTTCAAATCCCTCCCACGTCACATAACCATTTTCATCAACCTTGTCCTCGTCCTGCACCATAGCGGCTACAGTCCTCCATGCCGCTCTTTCCATCTCCTCGTCATGTCCAGTAACTGCCGGTTCCAGCTGAAGCGCTAACAACGCCCTCGCCAGTGCCGCGAGAGTGCGCCGCGGAATCCGTACTTCCCGCAGCCGCGAGCTCCTGCCCTCCATTAGCTGCCACGCGAGGGGCACGAACTCATGGCGTCGCACGCAGACGAAGGGGAGAATGGCTGGCTGCGCAATATAGAGCACGTCAAGGGCCTCTGAGAGACGGGTGTCATCTTCTTGGTCAGTGGCCGTGGCCGCGTCCGTGTTGCTAGTTTTGGCGGTGGTGTCGACGTCGTCATTGGTCAAACTCGCGGTGGCAGCAGCGGCCAGGCTCCTAAACAGCAGGCGGAGGTGGTCGCGGTCGGTGATTTCCAGGGACTGCTCGGCGGTGCCGACGAGGATGTGGCGGTGGCTGTCCCAAATGAGCCAGGAGATGGCGCGGCGGAGTTGCTTTTCATCAAGGCTGCTTGGAGGCGGCATGGAGCCAACAAATGGGACCCGGCTAAGGTATGCGAGGGCATTGTAGAGGAGGCTGCCGACTTGATGGGGGACAATCTCTTCGCCGCCTGCCTGGTGCTGGAGGATTTTGATGAACTGGTCTTCGCTTAGGGCACCGTTGTGGGCGGAAAGGGTTTTTGTGAGGGCCTGCAACTCGGCATCATTGAGGCAGCACCATTCCTCGACGTTTTCGTCGAGGCGGCGCATGATGTTTTCCTGAGAGAAAACGCCTTGTTCGTTCCAGCGAGTGATTTTGTCCCTGACGGGAATTCCAAGTGGAATCAAAGAGTAAGGAGAGGAGGTCTCGGACATGATGGGAAGTGGAAGTGAAAGAGATTTGAGAGAGGCTGATATTTGAGAAAAGAAGAAGAAGAAGAAGGCGCGGTGTTATATCTATGGTAATAATAGGCAGCAGCTACCTATTAGGTGTGGAGCCTGCTGCCTTCGGGGGCCGAAAATTCCGCCCCCGAACTGGCGCGGCTAGATTGTTACTCCGCATTACTTCTGCTCCGCCTCCAAGTCGGTCAGCCTCGCCATTCAAGTTGGATAAATTGTGGAATCATACAACGCGTGCACACTTGAAATTCCTGTCGTGTTATCTAAAAAGGTGGGTTTGGGAGGGACCGGGGGCTAATATCATCTTACCGGAGGCCAATGGATCGGTGCCAAGTGAGAAGAGGATAGAGGAGCCTTACAACGCTTGCTCCTATCCAACAAATGTTGTTGGAATTTCACAGCCTCATGGATTCAAGGGGAGACAAAAGTCTATAGGAACCCTCTTTTCTTCGTCCATTTCTCGAGCCATCATCCTCATCACTTCTTTTTCAACCAAGATTCACACTCCTTTATCGTCCTTCATTACCCTTGGAACCAAACAATGCATTTCAGCGCCCTTTTCGCTGCCTTCCTGACGACCCTCGCCGTCGCCAGCCCTCTTCCCGCCGCCAACCCCGATGCTGCCCCTGCAATTGTCGAGGATTTTGCCGCCGCGCCATCCGCGAACGCAATTCTCAAGACTCGCGATGAGACGAGGTTTAATAAGGATACGGATGAGATGAACGATGAGTTCAAAAATCTCGTGGATTTCAATCACATAAATCCTGCTCAGCTCACGCCGGGCTACCATGTTCAGAGTGCGGAATAGACCAGCCGAAAATGTGGTTGGACCGTGGGTTCGGGCGGGGTCGCTACAGCCCGGGTCGAATCGAACCCTATTAGGATCGATTCGACCCCATCTAGATGGGCTGCTGTTGGGCTGAAAGGTGGCCTGAATATTGGCCTAATCCGTGGGTAGGCGTGGGGCGCCCATGGTGTTGAGGATGGAGAGGCGCTTAGTAAGCGACGTCTTGCTTAAATAGGGTTAGCGTTTGCCTAATCGAGGTTCTTGGCACGCGCTTGCGGCCACTGCCGACGCATCTCGTGCCTCATTACTGCCTACACATAACCACGTTTGCCAACACCACCCACGCTATAAAGCCTGCACACGTTCGACGCTCTGTAGATTCGTTCTGCAGCACCTTCTTCAGTATCTGCAATTTTCCTAGCCCTCTAGCCTTACAATTTAGCTGCCAGGATGGCTCTACCGCTTAGAACACCGGAATCTACTGCTGCTACAGCTACACCTACACCTCTAGCGGCTACTATATCGTCGCTTACGAGCGAACCCGACAACCTCACTGCCCTCTATGCTGCTAGCGATCTGTAGACGCCCTGGGAGCCAAGCCAGCGGGACGTCGACGGCATTTTATTTAACCCAGATCTGGCTAAGGGTTTTCGAATGGTTAAGCTACTACCGCACATTCGCTATAAATTGCGTAGTTCTATATGGGAATACGGCTTCTTGGCGGTTAAGCGCTCGACGCAGAAGAAATACTAGATCTGTAAGTTATGCCACACTGCTGGCCGGCACCTTGCCTTTCTCAATTCAACTACTAGCTACGTAATTAAGTACCTCCGCAAGCACCGAATCGGTATTGAAGAGGACCCTCTAGCTACTGGAGAGGCTACTAGAGAGGCTACTATAATAATTATATCGCCTCCTGTACTACATATTCCTATTCGCATTATTAATGAAGCTCTCTATAAGGCACGGTTTATTGAATGGGTTATTGCTACGAATCAGACGTTTAGGGGCGCCGTTGATAACAGCTACTGGAGCCTACTACAGTCAATAGTAGAGGATATTGTAGTGCCTACAATAACTGACAAAACGCTCCGCAACCTTATATTCGGCCTGTTTAAACACACCCGGGAGCGCCTGGCAGAGTAGCTGCAGCAGGCCCTCTTAAGGATTAGTATTAGCTTCGACATGTGGACCTCCAGCAACGATCAACCTATGTTAGCTATACATGGCTACTTCGTCGATTCAGGAGGCAGTTATCAATCACTACTGCTGGGCCTGCTAATCGTCGAAGGTAAACACACGGGAGCCAATATCGCGAACACGCTTACAGGCGTGCTGAAGTAGTATAACATATAAGGCAAATTGGGCTATTTTATGGTGGATAATATAGCGAATAACAATACGGCCTTGCAAGCGCTCGCTGCAGAACTTGGCTTTAACGATAAATACGTGCGCCTGCGTTATGCCGGGCATATCATTAACCTCGTGGCGAAGGTCCTACTATTCGGTAAGGACGTAGAGTCCTTCGAAGATGTTATAACTACTGCTGAAGATACGCAAGAACAGGTGGTTGCTTGGCGCGAGCAGGGCCCGATTAGTAAGCTACATAATATCGTCGTTTATATTCGTAGTAGTCTACAGAGGCGTCTCACATTCGAAGCCATCTAGAGGTAACACAGTACTACTACACCAAAGCGGCTTATACTAAATAGAGGCATTCGCTAGAACAGCATATATGACATGATTACTCGGGCCGTCGAACTACGCTTGGCAATTAACGACTACTACCTGGGCCAACAGAGGGAGCTTGCTGAAGATATATTAACTACAGAGGACTGGCAGGAGCTCTCTAAGCTACGCGCGCTACTACAACCTATAAAGCGCCATACTGATTAGCTCGAAGGGAGGCCCACTAAAGGCAGAGGGGGTGCCTTATGGGAGGTTCTTTACAGCATAGAGGCTATGCTGCGGGACCTTGAAGAGGCGAAGGTGAAATATATAGAATGGGACGATAGCGAGCACCTGCAGGCCTCTGTTAACATAGTATAGAAGGTTCTTAATAAATATTACAGCCTTACTAACGAATCGCCTACCTACAAGGCCGCAGTTATCCTCTACCCGTGTATAAAAATGTCCTTCTTCAGGGGTGTGTAGAGCCACCGGCTAGAGTGGGTTGATTCAGCACATGAAGCTACGAAGAAGCTGTAGGAGCAGTATAAAACACTACAAACACGCTAAGCAGCGCCTCGGCTAGCAGATTCGCAAGCTGCTACTACTACAGATTCGCAAACACGGTGGAGGGATGAGCAGTAGGAGGAGGATATAAATGGCTTCATTTTTGGCAACAACAATACTATGGACGACGAGCTGGATAGGTTCCTCGTAGAGCCTCCTGTTCAGCTACCGAGGGGAGAGGTGCTGAACCCACTGATGTGGTGGGTACAACACCGAAAGCAATATCCTCAACTATCTAAAATGGCGCTTGATCTGCTGGCGTGCCCGGCCATGTCATCTAACTGTGAGAGGACGTTCTCCACGACGGGGTGGGCCATGGGGATACGCAGATCCAGGCTCCATGGGGACACGGTAGAGTCTATAGAGTGCCTCCGCAGTTGGCAGAAGGCAGGGCTTGTATACGCGGAAGCGTGGGTGAGGGACGTCGAAGGCCTCAACACCATGCCAAGCCATCTCCATGAACGTTACTGAGCAGTACTGGACCCGATTCGGCCAAAAAATAATCAGTGAGTACCCCCTGGGTCAGATCTGACTTATGCGAAGGAACTAACATACCTGATTTAGGTGGGAAAACGGCTATTTACTTCCTCTTGCGGAGCAGCGGAGGACGCGCTATTACGTGCTAAACGACGTGCTGAACGACGTGCGAGCGCCCGCGGGCGCGCGAGCGAGCGCTAGTGGGTGCGGGTGAGCGAATATTCGCGAATGAACAAGCATCTACAAGCGCTCGCTGTTTAGCATGTTGTAGCGCGTCCAGCGAAGCTCCTAGCTGAGCCGTGGAGGGCCTGTTTTACACCTAAAATCGACCCTCCAGGGCTGGCGAGTGAGTGGCGAGAGACGCGGGGGTGCGGGGTGGGCGAGATATCGCATTTTTGGCTTCAATTCAGCATATATTCGCTCAACACCATGCCAAGACCTTGTGATAGAGGCCTCTTCAGCCCGACTGCAGTCCATTCAGCCCCCTTGTAGCCCGGGTCGAGTCGAACCTAATTAGGAGCAGTCCATTCAGTCCAGTCGAAAATTGGGGTCGAACTGGACTATTCCGCACTCTGACCATGTTTTCTCTGTCGTCTTTGACCGACACTCATTTGCTGGAGAAGCTACCACGGCAGAACTGGAAATGGCGCGAGAACACATTGGGGCCGACCACAAGGCTGTTGTGGTGGGGGAAGTTAAGTCAACAAAGACTGGGAAGAAGGGCAAAAATAACAAGTGGACTTTTAGCGGTCAGCTTTACGATATGGGCTTGGAGAATGGGAAGCCCTTAGCTTTGCAAAAAGCATTCCATAAGAGCAGTAACCCGGCCAGGCATGTCACACATGTTAAGCTGACCTCTGCGTCAAAAGCCGGCGCTCTTAAAAAGTACGGTGAGTACTGTCTACTTTTCTTTTATTTTCTTTTGCTTTCTTTTATTTGTTTATTTCAGATCTTGCAACTACTTTCTGGGCCGATGACTGATTCATACCACTCATTACTAGGAGCCAACTACGTCGAGGTTCACGACAAGTACGACCCCCAGACCAACCACTGTGGTACTTACCACGACGCTCTTCTGGCCCAGCTGTAATATCAGTCCATCTGCACATCTTTTCACACGGAGATATGTCTCCATACCATCCTCACTTCTTGTCGTTTCGTACATTTGTACCCCTATATGTATCCTACGAATGAGCACTTGACAGCTCTGCCCTTTTGTGTATATTAGAAAGCTCCTTAGCGGCCAGTCACTCTTTACAATCCAGCCGTATTTTCATCTTTACTTGCATTCTTTAATTCAGTAACGTCTGTTACCGGGAACCGAGATCTACCGTATAGCGAGACAGGGGACGATATAAGCAGTCCTTACAGAGAACTCCTTGCCTAGCTCCTACCCTGAGTCCTGGGTATAGATAAAAAGATCTTAGAGCATATATAGACTCTATATATCATAACTCGGTATCTTCTTCTACTCTGTATAAGTATCACCATCTCGCTTCACGGTAGATCTCGGTTCGCGGTGACGGACGTTATTACAATTAATCGGTATATCTCAGATGTTCAAAAATTATAACTAAATCTCTAGATTATGAATCGAAATAATAATTTTAGTCTCTATACTAAGATATATTATAACCTTTTATCTTTATCAGTACCCTTACGATCTTATAAAATTCGACTTATATACTATTATAGAATATCTATTCTAGCTTTTATCTATCGATATAGATAAGGTAGTAGAGTAAGGTAGTAAATAACGAAGTAGTCTAGTACTACTATTAACAGCGTCTGAGTATAAAGAAGAAATACAGAGATAGGGATAGAGGGCTCTTTTATAAGTACTTAGGCTATCAGTTAGGGCCTTTGATTATATTAAAAAGAGAATAGGCGAGAAGGTACTTGAGGAATAAGTATAATAAGGAAGGATAGGGGATATCTCTTTGTTTAAGTCTTAATTACTAGGTCGGTATCCGGTGACTCTCTCGGTTCAGGCTTTAGTGCCTGCTAGCAGAGTACGGAATAGACCAGTCGAAAGGTAGTTTAGACCGTAGGTTCGGGCGGGGTCGCTACAGCCCGGGTCGAATCGAACCTAATTAGGTTCAATTCGACCCCATCTAAACGGTCTATAGTCGGTCTAAAAGGTAGCCTGAAGGTGGCCTTAAGGTAGCCGAAGTAAGGTAGAGGTATACCTAGTACCGATTATAAGTAGCGCTTTACTAAATTTAGGTCGCTACCATTATTCGTATACGTACGAAGATGCCACTTAGCAAAAACTAATTATAGTAGAGCCTTCTTTAGACCGACTACAGCCCATTCGACTCCTATCTAGACCGGGTCGAATCGAAACCAATTAGGACTCAGACCATTCAGTCCAGTTCGACCCCGGGGTCGAACTAGACTATTCCGCACTCTACCTGCTAGTGAGCAGCTTGTAAGCCCAAGTTCGTCCGAAAGAAATCTCGGACGAAGTAGCCATCATCTCGGTCGAAAAATCGCTAAGGACACCAGTCCTAGCTGTACGAGCTATGAATAATCCGATATCAATCATGCTAATTCCAAAATCTAGGAAAGTATTAGCAGCCTTAAAGCCTTGCCATTGTTCATTTTCTTCGCAACCCATCATCACATTACTTCCACCGCCTGCACCGAATTGTCGCCTTGAAATTTCCACAGTTCCACTGTTCCAGACTTCCAGCATGATGTCCACCGAAGCTACTGTCAATGTAGTTGCACGGCGCACTTTACGACGGGCCCATGAGCTGGCATCTGTGGAACCGCTCAACTCGCCAGTGAGGCTGGGCCCATTCGATCAACTGGGCCCGCCGTTCGTTCCTATCACCGTAGTCTACGCCTACAAACGGCCTGGCACAAGTTCTACTGAGGTCCAAGATGCGAATAGCAGCGAGCTCATCTCCATTGACCGCTTGGCACGTGCGATGGAACTGCTTCTCGACTACTATCAGCACCTGTCAGGGCGTCTTCAATTCAACCCTTCTGATGGAACGCCTGAGATTGCCCATTTGGATACCGGAATTCAACTCCTCGAAGCGCGGTGTAGCGCACGACTAGACGACTCAGTGGACGCGAGCACCGGTCGTATCATGATGCCGGGCCTCCCTGGTTCCGGCACCACACTCCTACCACAATTTGTTCCTGCATTGGAGGCTGTTTGCCGCAACCCCATCTTCTCCATCCAACACACTCGGTTTGCGTGTGGCTCTGTCACGATCGGCATATCTATTCATCACATAGTGTGCGACGCTGAAGGCTTCTTCCAGCTGACACGCGACTTGGCTGAGCTCTATCGTGGCCTCGGTACCGCTGAGGTGAAGGTGGGTTCAGAGGCCGGAGCCGCTGTCGCCGCGCTTGCACGTCCTCCTCACATCCGATCATACCTTTCAGAGTTATGTAATATGGCGCCGGAAGAGCGACAAAGCGCACTTAACTTCCAACCTTCTTTGTTTACTTTGGATCCCAAACGTGGTGGGAGCACTGCAGGCACTGAAGCCGTAACTGCCCATGTGAGCTCGGCAGCACCTCCTCAGCCACCAGTTGTCGGGCGTGTTCTACGCTTTTCCGGCAGCGAGTTGGCAATGCTAAGGAAAAATGCAACGGACCCATACAGACGAGGTTGGGTGTCTACATTTGACGCTCTTTCGGCACACATCTTCCAGCATGTGTATCAGGCACGTCTCCGGCTACGTCGGTCCCGAGGGCTACCATCGTCCGACACGTCAGACATACCGCGTGGTTTTCTTACATCTGTCAACCTTCGCAGCTCAGAGCGTCTCAATCTCCCACCACGCTATTTTCCCAACGCCGTCGTCACGACCTTCAAGACTCTGCACCATGACGTGATCGCTAATGGACCACTGTGGCAAGTTGCAAAAATCATTCATGATCTTACCCACTCCGTAGCACCAAAAGAAGTGGATCAGACCCTCCACTGGATCGCAGCGCAACCAGACAAGCGTCAAATTAAGCCTGCTATCCTGGACGGGCTCGGAAGCTTCATCGTTACTCAGTGGTGCAAGTTCGACATGTATGCCGGCGCAGACTTTGATGTCGATACCCTCGGCATACCAATTCCGCCAGCTTTAGTATCGCCACCGTTCACGCAAATCTCGCTCTTGGATGGGCTGGCTTTCTTTTTGGCGACCGAGGAGCAACTACTGCAGCGAGTGGCTACAACTGACATGAAGCTACCGTCGGCGCGCCATAATCCCTCCGCCATTGATGTTAACTTAACAATCAGCGAGCCGGTCTGGCAGTTTTTTGACCATTCTGTAGCATAGATTGTATATTATAAATCATATTCATAGTTCCTACTTTTGCTGCCCCATTATTATGCTTTCGGGTGAGAAGAGTTGTAAGGTCAGAAAAGAGGCAGATTCTGCCTGTCTCCTAAATGCTGCATGGAAGCTATGAGCTGTCTCCTGCTGCCCAGGCCCCAGAGTTTCGTCCGAAAGATCCTGACGTTCTAGACCACTCTCGGACAAACGAATTTATTTAATCATTTTCGAAATAGCATTTGAAATCTTATTAAACAACGCTTTATTAGTGTATTTCAGAGTGTGAAAAGGCGACTGGCTCGAGCAGACCAGTAACTTTCGTTTTGGATTAAGGGTTGTGAGAAGTTTCCACAATGACAAAGTGACTGTACTGCAGTGCCTCGCGTGTTCAATAATGTGAGCCGAGCCTTATATTTTGCGTTTGTCTTCCTTTGAAAGGATGAGAAGCATTCACGTTAATAATACCGATTGATGCCGAGGTTTTGTCATGTTGAGTCTTTGTCCGAGGCATCCTTAACGTGTCTCGGACGAATCTATTTACTGGGATAAACTAATTACATCACAATGAGTCATTATGGCTCACTCTAGTCACTAAAGTCTCGCCTATATAAGTGATTATCTTTCGATCTTTTCGTCCGTCTGTTGATCTCAGTCGCGATAACATTTTCACTCCTTTCTGAGATGGCGGGCACGATCAGTGTCGGCGTGATAGGCGCAACTGGCAACACCGGCCAATCTGTTGTTGATGGTTTGCTTTCTTCCCAGACAAATTTCGTACGTACATTGCTATTTGCTGCACGCCACATTCCTGTCATTATTACTAACATGCCCATAGACTATCACATCTTTCACTCGAACTTCTTCCATTGATAGTCCTACAAACCAGAAATTCAAAGCCAAGGGTGTTCAGGTTATTGGCTACGATCTGAGCGATCCTCGCGAAGCTCTAGTGAATCAACTGAAGAGCATCGATGTCCTGATCTCCTGTATCACTTGGGAACATCTAGAACAGCAGATGTCATGGATTGAAGCCGCTAAGGAGGCTGGCGTCAAGCGATTCGTGCCTTCAGAGTGGGTCAGTCCAGCACCACGGGGCGTCATCAACATCAAGGATAAGGTTAGAACTCCATAACATGAAAGTTACTACAGCGAATATTGCTACTAATAGCATGATTAGAAACTCGACATTCTCGGTGTCATTCAACGGGCGCGCTTGCCGTATACCATCATTGATGTGGGCTGCTGGTATCAAGTTTTTGTACCAAAAGTCCCTTCTGGAGGGTCAGATGGCGAACATTCAATCTATATTGATCACCGAATCGTTGAAGACGGAAACCAAAAGTTTGCCCTAATGGATAGGGATGATATTGGGAAGTACGTTTCTCAGATTGTGGCGGACCCTCGGACGTTGAACAAGCGCGTGTTCGCGTATACCGAAGTTCTGAGTATGAACGAGATCTGGGAGGTCATGGCTCTTGCTAGCGGAGAAACACCCCCGAAAGACTACGTAAGTTATTAGAGACTTCTAAAAACAGCTCTACTAATTCCGCTCTCTTAGGTATCCGGTGAAGAGATCAAGGAGATTATAGAGACATCTCAGAAGAAGCTCCAAGGAAGTTCCGAGAGTGCCCACCATCCAAGCAACATTATGGATACTGCTAGTTTCAACATGGGGCAGTACCGCATCTCCTGGTGCATTCGGGGAGATAATACTCCAGAATACGCGGAGTATCTTGGGTACGAGGATTTCGGGAACCTGTATCCAGACTTTCCGCAAGGCAGGAGTCTCAAAGCATTCTATGATCAAGTTCTGAAGGGACCTGTCAGATAAAACAATGTATCATCTAAGTGAAGATAGTAAACTTGCTTAGAGCGAAATATTCGACTCTATTAGGGCATGGATAGAATTAGATAGCCGAATACGAGGCTTAATGTCGTTCGCTGGAGACTTGCTATTTCTCACTGGACTTGCTGCTACCACTCGCTGTTGTTCACCTGTTGTTATTCGCCTTCCGCTGTCACTATTTTAGAGTACCCCTATAATTTAGTACACTAACCTAACTTGCAATAGCTTCATGCAGCCCCACATGAGGCGGCGCTAACATCACTTTCCCTGCAACCAAAGTAGTCTTGCACGCAGAAAAACCTCGGACGAAGTTTTGAATCAAACTTTTCTTTGCTCGACATCCCCTACTGCCCCCGCGAAACCTCGGACGAAGGAAATCAGCCACATCTTAAGATGGATGCAAGCCGAGATCGCGTGACTGAAGGTCCAGGAAGTGCAAGAAAGCGCATGAGAAAGGGAACGCGCAGCTGCATAACCTGTATGTACTTGTTGTTTTAGCTGGAATCAATGCTTATTATGGTGTGGAATTCGTCCTAGGTCGGCAACGGAAGGTTCGCTGCGTATACCCATCCAATGATTCAAGACTATGTCTCCAGTGCTCGCGGCGCGGAGATGAGTGTGTCCCGCAAGACCCGTCTCCTTGGGAGGACGAGAACCCTATTGCAGCAAGTACTGTTCAATCGGTGCAGCGGGCTTTAAATGAAGATGAGTCAGTAGTAGCTGCGGGCACGAGTGAGGCTGGTCTTGCGGAGCACCGTCCTCGCTATGTTGTTCAGCTCGAACGCTTACGCATTAGGGCTTCGGGATTTACTTCCTCAAAGGATCAATCTCAAACAAAAGACCAGCTTCCATCAAGGAATAGTTCTACCGGTATTGAAGTTGAAAGCTTGGAACCTATGCGTACCGAGTGTGCGCCGCTTATGAAGTTGTTTGATAATACAATTGTAGGTCGCAGCCCTAAACAAATTTGGTGAATGACCAGAACAAGCTAACTGCTGCCCAGTTAAGTCGATCGACAGGATCTGATGAAGTTGTCCCTCCACTTGGGCCCTTGGATCGACGGGGGAAGGCGACAATATCCCTACAAAACCGACAGTTGCACACTCATGCCGAGGCAATCGCTAGCCTCTGCGCAGGTATGCCTCCAGAATCTGAAATGGAAGATATATTTCGGAACCGGAGCGATTGGTGGAATGGATGGCGGCAATCCCTGGATTTAAGCTGGGGTGAGGAGGAAGATGCTACGCTCGAATGCTTTGCAGTGCGAGCCTTTTCCTCCGGGCACCCCTCGCTGTTGGGAAACTTGCTTGTTTGCTTCGCCATCAGCGCAGGCGATCACTTCAAGTACCTCCCACTCGTCGAAAGATGGATCTTGAATAACGACGAGCTGGCTGGCAGTGAATCTGGTTTGCAATGTCTGATGGGGCTCGGTCTGGTCCTGCTCAGTATCATGCAGCCGCGTCGTGCCTGGCATGTCTATCGAAAAGCCAACACTTTGCTACAGCTAAACGGGATCCATCGGGAATGCAACAGATCAAAGAAAATCGACTCAATCTTTTGGCAGCTGTTCCACGCGGACCGTTGGGTGAGTTTGATTGTGGGTCTGCCGTATTCCGTCTCGGAGAACCTTTGCAACTTGAAGATCCCACCAGTCGATGCTATACCACCGGCCACGTTTCATTACCGCCACTTTGCAGTTTTGACCGGCCGCGTCATTGATTGCTTGCAATCCATCAACGGCTTGTCCCTATCCACTGTCACTCATATTCAGGAGCAGATGGACAGGATCACCTCTCAACTCCCACCCGGCTACATCGACCTATCGCAGACAATAACATGCTCTGATGATACGGAAAAATACATGCGTCTTATGCGCATTTCGCACGTCCACCAGCTTAAATCTCTACTGCACCTCCCGCTCTTCCTTCGGCAAGACGGGGACGAGGATGTGCGTGAGTACAGTCGTAAGGCCTGTGTCGCAAGCTCACGCGTCCTGCTGGAAGCGTACCTGCAGATCCACGCTGGCTCGCTCTTCGTCAACGGGATCACCGCCAACCTCGAGTCCTTTGCGGCTTTCACGTCCGCAGTGATACTGTTTTTCCATCTTCTCGGCTACGGGCAATCTTCTTTCTCGAAATATCAGCAGCGGTCCTCTAATGAAAGCACGGTGCGGAATGATGAGCAACTTATACAAAGAGCCCTGGAGGCCCTTAAGAATGGCTCTACCGGCCGATCGGCTTTGTTGTGCCACTGCTGTTACACGGCGTTAGAGGCGCTGGTGACTAGTACTCGGGCACTGACAGAAGGAGGCGTTCGGAATGTCGTCTTACCGTTTTTCGGGACGGTATCAGTCAACCGTCGTAGAGCAGATGTCGGACATAACCACGAAAGCAATAATGGTTTCGATGTTTACAGCGGCGACGATAGACCGGACGACGAGACCCATTTATTTCCCCTCGAACAAGATGCGTACGATGCTGGTTTCAGCAACCCATTTGGCCCGTTGGACGACCTTTCCCTGGCTTGTTATGAACCGTGGGGGCTCGACTACCCTGTACCTTCTATCGCGCAAGACAGCTTTGATCAAACCTTTGGTGGTGGAGCATGGTCAAACATGGTTAGTCCCACGCAAGATCTTGATTGGATGGAACTGTGATATTTGGAGAGAATGTGGTGTTATACAACAGGCCCTCAAATTCCCGTAGAAATAGAACCTCCCAAAGGGCCGGTCTTGGTCAACTGCATGCGGAGGACGGAAGTTAGGGTGGGTTGGGAGGATTGGGCGCTGGCCCTGCTGTACAAGGGATAGAGGACGAGAACGCCTAAAGCGGGAACAGCATCTTAGAAGGTAAGGACTGGGAGAAGCTATTGTCGGGCTTTTTCAACTTGGCGTCGGGGATGGAGGTGCTGCAATGGAACTCCTTTCTCTCGGATATGGTCCATGGACTTCACGCTGGGACCTGGTTGAAGCTCCTGCTCTTCGGTTGTGATGTGATTGACGCGGCGAAGGCGCATTTCTACCTTCTGTAGAGTTGTGCCGGGAGTCTGGCTTGTCTGGTTGGGCGTGGTTTGTGTTCAGGTTGGATCGGTCGGAGTAGTTCGATGAGGTTCTAGAGCTTTGGTGGCTTGATGAGATTGTTGAAAGACCACTGAGGTGTCTTTGACTGGCGCGGAAAGAAGTATAATGCGTTATACTGTAACAAACAATACAGCTGGCAAAGCACTGCGAGTAGTTTCTTTGTTGGTACCAATCCTAGCCGGTCATTGTTGCTCAGTGTTGAGCTCGGAGACTTGCATGAGGATGAGGGCAAACGCGAGTGCTTTGTCTTTTGAGGGAGAGTCATTTGACGGAGCTGTTGGCTGTGGCACTGCGGCAGAGGCAGCGAGCGGAATATTGGGCAGCACATCCGGCGCGGAGAGGCGAACGGGCTGAGTGAGGGTGGACACGGCGACAGGCGCGCACCGACGCAACAAAACCGTGTGAGCGACAACAAACAGTATATATACAAAGAAACCCAAACCCCAAACACGAACGCGTCAGACTAGGTCGCCCAAACATCAAGTAATGTGCCCTCTGGTCTGGTAGTAAGCATCGAGGAGCAACTCTGTTGCAGACTAGGTGTCACTAAGTACAAGTGAGGTGGAGTTTGGAGTAGGGAGCCCGATCGAGGAGGCGCGTTCGATTCTCTCTTTTGTCTTTCTTTTTTGCGTTTTTGGTCTTATTTCTGGTGCTACATTTTTGTGTTTAGGGGACAAATGGAAAATTCGTGCTTTGCTTTTCCATTTGCATTGCTTCCATGGGTATGTTTATGTTCGCACGCACTACACTGGGAGAGGTAACGACTTTTGTAGCGCGCCTGAAGACTTGAGCTAGTAAGCGAGTTCTTTTCTCCTTCTACTTTTTATGCACATCACCTTCAACATGTCCACTTAGTTCCTCATAGCAACAAGCACTGTAGGCACAAAGCTACATGCCTATCCATAGCTCACTTTAACTATTTGTTTGTTAGACAGTTTCATGAGTAGATGCATAACTTTGTCTGCAGACAGTAAGCACTTGAACGAATTGACTGTACGGTAATGTGAGAACAGGAAAAGAAAGAAAAAGAGGATAAACGCAAGCCATAAAATATAAATAGCCGCCATTCATCACTACCAACACAACCCACCCAGCCCAACACACCACAAACGACTTGGAGGCAGCATTCATGGAGGCAGTCCTACCGTCTCACGAGCACAACCACCCACCCTCAACCACACACCCCCGATCCCGTCTCCACACGAGGCAGCCAGCCAAATCCCGCGAAGCCACCCACCACCACCCCACAAAAACTCATGCTTCATCAAGGCTTTTGACGCCCACTCCCACTACCGCCAAGCGCCAAAACAAACGCCGCGTCCTCCCGAGAGGCAAGAAACACAACAAAGAGTCCACGGGACGCGCCGTCTCTCGCACACCAGCACACAACCCCCACACACACTCAAAGAAGATAGATAGTAGATATAGCCAACCAAGACACAAGCAGGCATGGATTTATTTTTTTTATTTTTTTTTTTTTTTTTTTTTTTTTTTTTTTTTTTTTCATTATCATTGTTTGGGTGAATGGTGACACCGACCAGCACGGCCCAAAGCCGTCCAACGCCATCACTGTCACTGTCACTGTAGAAGTAAGTGGTTTATTGAGTGCGTGGCTTGTGGCTTGTGGTGTTGTGGCACTGAAGCGAGGATAAGGACAGAGATTCTTGACCTGACCTGTTTGATAAATCAACCAGGGCGCACCGACGTGCGTGGTTATATGCATTTGTGACATCAATTCCAACTCTTCGCTTCCGTGGAGCGCACGCAGACAGCGATATAACAAACGATGAGTCCAAAGCGCCGATATCCTTGTAGACAATGAATGGAGCGCATTGCCTTTCTATCCACAATCGGTAAATACCCCGTCCACACACCCACACCCACACATCCCAGAACCCCCTCCAACCCTAAACCTTCTCTTCCTCTTCCTCTTCCCTCACACCCCAAAACACAAAACCCAAAACTTATACCACCACCCCCTACAAGCCCTACGACTCGCTCTCAGCGCTCTTTCTCCGCTCCCTCGGCTCCTTAGACCCTTCATCATCGACATCGAGCCCCTTAGCCGCGCGCTCCTCGCTCGTCATCGCACCATGGCCCGCAAACAGGTCCTTGTGCGCGATTTCCTCGAGCGAGAGGCCAGCCGTCTCGCGTAGGAAGAAGAACGTCCCTAATGCGATGACGAGGTCGAAGAGGCCCCAGAGGAGGAACGTGCCCCTGTTGAGGTGTTAGTTATGTGCTTATTGTGTGCGTGGCGAAATAGAAATTGAGGGAAGGGGATGTGGATGGCTAAGAAGGGAGTCGTCATGCACGTACCAGCCAATGTCGTCGATCATGTAGGGCGTCGTGAGCGAGAAGACAAAGTTAAAGAGCCACTGGCTTGCAACACCGACAGCGACACCGGGGTCACGGATGCGGGTGGTGAAGATCCTGCACAGTCAGCGTTAACGGAGCCTGTCCATGTATACCACGATAGAGAGGGCAGCAGATCACATACTCAGAAACATAGGGCCAAGGCAGCGGCCCCCACGAAAAGTTGTACGCAATAACAAACATATAGATCAGCGCGACGGTGGCAATGCCCGCACTCGTGACGCTGCCATCACCCGGCGGCTGGATGTTCTTGACCACGGCCGCCGTCGTCACTTGGCACGCGGCCATGAACAACGCGCCTCCGATCAGGACGCTGCGTCGGCCGAAGCGGTCTGCGAACCACAGCACGAAGATGCCGCATCCGACGACTTTGATCACGCCGAAGATGGCCGTCAACAGCAGGTTCTTCTCGTCGTCGTCGCCGACGAGCAGCTGGAAGTACTGCGGGCCGTAGTAGGCGAAGGCGGTGGCGCCCGTGGCCTGTTGCGCCATGAAGACGCAGAAGGCGACGGTGAGGGCTTTGAAGTTGGTGGGCTCGAGGAGTTCTGGGCGTGTTAGTAGATGTTTCTAAAAACAAAAAAAATTTCCGGATGGATGGTGTGAAATGAGATGAATAGGGTCAGGTGACGACGAGCGGGTGGAAGGTGACCATGCAACATACCCTTCAAACGGAACCCCTCAGTCTGGCGAGCTTCCATGGCGACAGCAGCGCGAATCTCTTCCATCTCATCTTGCGTCTTCTCAGAGCTGTCGGCACGAATCCACTGCAAGCTCTCCCAGGCCTCGTCGTGGCGGCCGACCTTGGTGAGCCAACGCGTGCTCTCTTTCAGAGTAAACATGCCGAGGCCAAGTAGACCAGCAAAGAGGATCTGCAGGCCGATCGGGATCTGCCACTGCCTCGAGATCTCGGGGTAGTCTTTCTTAACGCCGTAGTCGACCCAATAGCTGGTGAAGATGCCTGCGGCGGTCAGCTGTGCACCCGAGAAGAAATGGGACCCTGCATACCCCAGGTGTAAAACCATTGGAAGAAACTCCCCATCCGGCCGCGAAGCTCGGTAGGCGCCATCTCCGAGTTGTACATGGGCACTACGACGGAAGCCCCACCCAAGCCCAAGCCGGCGATGACGCGAGCGACGTAAAAGGCAGCCAGGGAGCGCGTGTTGATGGTCTGGATCATGGCACCGATGCTGAAGATGAATGCAGACACCATCAGAGACTTCTTGCGTCCATAGCGGTCCGTCAAGGGCCAGATGATGAAGCAGGCAACAAAGGCGCCGAGCTGCTGCAGGGAGACACTGAGCGACGAGACCCGCGTCTTCTCGCTCTTTGTGAATTGGTAGTCATTTTGGAAGGAGCCAAGCGTCAGTACACCACCTGGACGGGTTAGTAGCGGAAAAGGGAGGGTATCATCGTCGAGGATCACGTACCGACGCTGTGAAAAAACGTCAGCCATTGGTTCCGGAATACGGCAGCAGCAGGTACAACTTACATGCCCGAGTCGTAGCCGAACAGAAACCCCCCGATACAAACGATGCAGCCGAGCCAGTAGGCGCGCAAATGACCGGCAGAAGGCATCCACTTCATCGTGTCGGGCGGAACTAGAGATTCAGACGAAGCAGACGGCGACAAGAGCGGCTGGGCCGACGAGGACGCCTCGCAATAAGAGGCTCTCCTCGCCACGCGTGCCATGGTTGCAAGACTGGGAAAAGCGTGACTCGGATCGTAGGAATGATTTGCTGGGCAGCGTCAGCCGGCGCATTTCCCGCATGCACGCTCGCCGCCGGGGCAGGGCAATCGCTGATGGGCTGGAGGGCATTGGCGAGCGTCGCGGCGCGGTGATGTTGTGCTCGCCAGGCGCGGTTGCGCGATGCATGCTTGCCTCAAGGGGAAATGCGGGGAATGGACGAAAAGAGAGCGGTGGGCGGCTTACATGCGACAGGGTTGGTAGCACGCAATTTAGGCGACGCGGCGAGAGGTGTTGATAAAGAGCGAGACAACCGTAGCTAATCAACCAGCGACCCGGAGCTATGACGGTCCCCCCCCAGTGCCCCCCTACCCCACGCTGACGACGCATCGCCCGGGGCACGCGACACTGTGGGCCCGCGGACGCCTGAACTCGACGACACGGACGCGTCTCTCATGCAACTCACGCGAATAAACTGCTCTCGCCAGCACATGCAGCAGATCCGTCGCCGCAATGTTAAAGCCCATTGAACCCCGCGCCAACCTGGTGCTGCAGCTGCCATTGTCGCTGCACACATCATCAACTCCTCTCCTCACTGCCACTGCCTCTGCCTCTGTCCGTCTCCGTCGTCGCATCACCTGAAACCCCCGCAGCAGTCATGGCCGCCCCCAAACGCCCCAACTTCCTTGTCATTGTCGCCGATGACCTCGGCTTCAGCGACCTGGCGCCCTTTGGCGGCGAGATCAACACCCCCAACATCGCCAAGCTTGCCGAAACGGGCATCCGCTTCACGGATTTCCACGCCGCTGCCGCATGCTCGCCCTCGCGCGCCATGATCATGACGGGCACCGACCACCACATTGCAGGCCTGGGCAATCTGATCGGCACGCCTCCCAAACAAACAACCCATACATGAACAAACAGGGCTAATGACGGTGCATACAGAATGGACAAATATCAGCTCGCAAAATGATCCCACTGGAGGCATGTCGACGGCGCCGCAGCGCGGCATGCCCGGCTACGAGGGCTACCTGAACGAGCGGGTCGTGGCGCTGCCCGAGATGCTGCGCGACGCGGGCTACCTGACGATGATGGCCGGCAAATGGCACCTGGGATTGACGCCCGAGCGATCGCCAAAAGCGCGCGGCTTCGAGCGCAGCTTCGCGCATCTGCCCGCGTGCAGCAACCACTACGGGTACGAGCCGCAGCTGGAGGCGCCCGACAAGATCCCCGACTTCATGACCATGAGCTACATCGCGCTGCACAGCGAGGACGGCGAGTACGTCAAGAAACTGCCCGACGGCTGGTACAGCAGCAACGGCTACGGCGACAAGATGCTGCAGTACCTCAAGGAGCGCAAAGACACGAATGACGAGCGCCCCTTCTTCGGCTACTTCCCTTTCACGGCGCCGCATTGGCCACTCCAGGCCCCGAAGGAATACATCGCCAAGTACAAGGGCGTGTACGACGATGGGCCGGAAGCGCTGCGGCAGAAGCGGCTGCAGCGCCTCAAGGAGCTCGGCATGGTCGCCCCGGACGTCGAGCCGCACCCGGTGGTTGCCGACGAGGTCGCAGCATGGGAAGACCTCCGCCCAGACGAGAAGGCCAAGTCATGCCGCGCGATGGAGGTTTTCGCAGCCATGGTCGAGTGCATCGACGCCAACGTCGGCAAGGTCGTCGACTACCTGCGCGAGACCGGCGAGCTCGACAACACCTTCGTATGCTTCCTGTCAGACAATGGCGCCGAGGGCGCCGCCTACGAGGCCTACCCCATGGTGCAGGGCAGCATGCTGCAGCACCTGCAGAAATACTACAACAACAGCCTGGACAACCTCGGCGCCGGCGACTCATTCATCTGGTACGGGCCGCGGTGGGCGCAGGCCGCCACGGCCCCAAGCCGGCTGTACAAGGCGTACACGACAGAAGGCGGGGTGCGCGTGCCGATGGTGGCGCGCTTCCCAACCGGACACCAGGACGCGTCGCGCGCGGGCACGATCAGCGACGCCTTCGCGACGGTGATGGACCTCGCGCCCACGATCCTCGACATGGCGGGCATCAAGCACCCGGCGCCGCAGTACCGGGGCCGGGAAGTAGTGCCCATGCGGGGCGCGTCGATGGCGCCGTTCGCGCGCGCGCCAGCCTCGAAATCCCCCCGCATCCACGCCGAGGACTTCGTCGCGGGGTGGGAGACGTGCGGCCGCGCCGCCGTCCGCGCCGGCAACTGGAAAATCGTCTTCATCCCGAAGCCGAAGGGGCCGGAGCGGTGGCAGCTGTACGACCTGTCGGTCGACCCGGGCGAGATCCACGACCTGGCGGAGCGCGAGCCCGCGACGCTGGACAAGCTGGTCAAGCTCTGGGACCGGTACGTGCTGGAGACGGGCGTGGTGCCGCTGAGCCCGGCTCTGGGGGCGTATTTGGCGGCGACGGAGGCGCAGATGCCCGAGAATGCGTGGATGGAGTATGAATATTGGAAGGAGGGGGCGCGGGAGGATGGGAAGCGAGAGGATTTCTTTAGGAACCCGCCGAGGTTTAGGCGCGAGGTGAAGCCGTTTTAGGTGGTGCGTTTGGTGTGAGGGGGAGGGGGGTGGCGCTTGATGAGAAGAATAAATGGATGAAATGCTGAGCGCTGTTTTGCCGTGATCGCTATTGTAGCTCTGCTCTTCGTTCCGCTGTGTATTTCCGGCGTCTGCAACATGCATCACGCCGTCTCCAGCGCGCGCGAGAAAAACGACCCGTGGTGGTGGTGCGATGGTGGGGTGGGTATAGCTGCATACTAGCGGTAGGCGGCAGCGGTGTGCGGTGCTGATGTATTGCATCGAGGATTTGATTTTTGATTTCAGTGTTGAGAGGATGAACAGAGCAGAGCTGAGTGTTAGCAAGTGCTGCGCTTTGTCGCTGAGAAGAACGCCCGCCAGGGCGATTGCAGTTATTTCACGCTCCTCTTCCCCTCCCTCCACGCGCGTTGAACGGCGTGTGCGGATTGTGGTTGGAGCTGGGGTTGGGGGTGGAGGGGCTTCTTGAGCGGATGCGGATGCGCTGCTATGGCGGGAGCGGAGCGTTAGGGCTGGTTGGGGATGGTTGGGGATTGGGGTTGGCGGAGATGTTAGCAGCGTTGGACGAAGGTTCGAGTGTGTGGGTGAGGGACTGGGGTGGTTTGTTAATTGGGTATTGGTGCTTTGTTCCGCTCGGAGGAGAAATTGGGAATTGCATCTCGAGTTTAAGTGTCGTGGGGTAAGGCTGAGAGACTGACCCCTCCCTCCGTCTTAGGTATTTACGCAGACACTGCCTTCTCTCATACCTCCTGCCATACCACCACGCGGCACACACTAACCACCTCAACGCCACTAAAGAGAGCAAAAGCGCGAATACTTAACCGGAGGCAAGGGCAAGGGCATGAGTATGACATGCAGCCATCACGCTATAAGAAGAACGGCGAAGCACACTACGAAACCCCTCAACTGGGGCGTACGTCTATAGTGCCAGTACACAAACACGCACACACACACACTCTCTCTCTCTCTCTCTCTAAGAAAGCCAGAAGCACGTTATTGGTACATTACACAATAACAAGCGGTGGTGTGCGCCACCACTGCATGAAGGCGGTGGTCGTCAGTGCTGCCCCGTGGTGTTGGTGGTGGTGAGTGTCACTGTCACTGTCACTGTCACTGTCACTGTCACGGTGTGGGTTTGGATGAGCTTGTTTGAGAGGGAAGGATGAACTGAGGGAATGAGAGGGGGGGACGGGTGTTGGATGTAAGGAGTAGGAAATGCCCAGGGATTGGTAGGTTCGTATTCGGGGTGAGTTCAAAGTGTTTGCCGGTAGGAAGGACGGCCGGAGCAGCGTGCTGCGCGGTGCTGTGTGTGGTGTGTGTATATATAGTCGCTTGCATAAGAGATGAGGGAGGGGGAGGCGCGTCCGCTTTGAATAGGTAATGCGGTAATGCATAGATGCTAGAGTGTCCGTTAAGCAAAACCCCACCTACGTAGTCAGGCACATGATAGGATACGCTCACACGCCGCCAAACACAGCCGCCCACTCCCCCCTTACCAAAAGCCGCTCTAGCACTTCCTTCAACTCGCCTCTTGTTTCGCCCACCTCAACCCCCGTCCTCTCATCCACACCACGCACCCACTTCTCCTCAAACGCCCTCTCCCTCTCCGCCAATACCTCAGGGTCCCACACCCCCTTTCCTTCCCCTTCCCCACCCGCCTCCCCCGCCCCCGCCACCGTCTCAACCGCATACCCCACAAAAACCTCCCACCTTCCTTTATAATACCCGCCTACGAGCCCCGCCCACGCCTTGGACGCGTAGTCCCCGATCTCGCCGTGCGGGCCCCACTGCGTGAGCTGCAGCAGCGCAGCCGCCGTAAACGCGTCTTGGTCCAGCTGCGTCGGCGGCGCCGAGGCGCGCGCGGCACGCAGCCATGTTGACAGGGAGAAAGCGGGGGAAGTCGCGAGGAGGGCGTCGAGGGCGGCGAGGAGGCGGAGGAGCGCGGCGCCCGCTTCAGCAAGGGTCGTACCGTTGGCAGTGGGAGCGGATGTGGTGTTTGCGGCAAGGGTGCTATTGAGCGAGGCGACGAAGGACTGGTACAGCGCCTCGAAGTGGTTGCTCAGCACCTGGCGCGAGACATCCGTGAGGTCATGGCGGAAGGCCGTATCGTCCCAAAGCGCGGGCGCGGCCGCCGCAGCCGCGTACAGCTGCTGCCAGGCGGCGGCGAGGGCGGCGGGCGCGTAGCTCCGCGCTGTGGGGTGGTGGCCCTCGCGGTGTGTGAGGCCGGACAGGGCGGGGCGCAGCTCGAGGATGCTTTTGGGGACGGCGTTGGCGAGGCCGTCGCGCGCGCTGAAGCGCGTGTTGTTGTAGACGGAGCGGCGGAGGAGGTCCCAGGCCGTGAAGAGCGCGGGGGGGAGGGGTGCTGGTGCCGAGTCGTGCGTGTTGTTGATGCTGATGCTGTACCGGCTGCGCACCCAGGCCGCGAAGTACGCCTCTGTGTCTATGGGGGTGGGGGACCAGGCCTGGTCGAGCAGGAGGTCGTAGACGACTTCGTTGCCCTCCTGCGCCTCCATCGTGAGGCCGAACCCGACAAGCGAGGACGAGTTCGCCAGCGCGGCGATGGGGTTGACGGTGATGTTCTCGACTTGGCCGTAGAGCCCCATGTTGCCGCCGTAGTCGTGCAGCTGGCACCAGATCCAGGGCTTGCCGAAGTACGAGTTCGTGCGCTGCCACTGCGGCTGGCTCTCAGAGAAGAGGTCCAGGATCAGCATGTCGCTGTTCTCGGGCACGCCCGACAGGAACGCCTCGATGCGCGCTTCGGTCCAGAAGTCGCGGTTCGAATAGAACAGCCAGCCTTGCATCAGCCAGATGGCAGCGGGGTCGGCCGCCTTGAGGCTCGCCCATGTGTGCTGCGTCACGTTTTGCAGGTAGCCCAGGTCGCCCGAGTAGGGGTCGTTTTCGTTGTACTGGTCCAGCGTGTAGATGTGCGAGATGTTCCCGTAGGCGTCCTGCTGCTTGGAGATGAAGCTTTGTTGCAAGCGTGCAAACGCGGCATCAGTGGGCTCCAGAAACGTGGCATTCGTATACTCGACCGGAAACCCGTTCCACTGCGACCCATCAACGACGGTAGCATTCGGCAAGACCCTCGTGATGGCTCTAGGAACAAATCCCGTGAAGGCCGGCAGCACGGGTGTCATGCCCAGCTCGACCATGCGGCGCACAATCCGCTTCTGCAGCGCAAACTGCTCGTCAATCCACGCCAGGGGCAGCGGCCCCGTCCACGAGCCCTGGATATTCCCGAGCCGGTTCCAGCTCTGGAAGGCCGGCGCGCTGAAGAACTCCTGGATCTCGGCGTCGGTCAGGCCCGTCTCGCGAAAGACGTCGACGAGGATCTTTTCCACGCCTACCCATGCGAGCGGCAGGTTCACGCCGCGAAGGGCCAGCCAGTCCAGCTCTAGCTCCCAGTCTTCCCATGTCCAGAACGCCGTCGTGTACGAGAAGGTCACTATCGGTACAGGTTAACTAGTGAATGCCCATGAAATTGTTCTTTGGAAATGCCATACATACCCGTGTTGAAGTGATACCGCCAGGGCACCACGCTCGCACCCGTCAGCGACCCATTCAGCCGCGGCAGCTCCTCCGGCGCAAGATGCAGCTGCGAGCCCACAAACCACCACACATCGACATGCACCACATCAGCGAGATAGCGATGGAGCCTACATCAGCACAACATCAGTAACCACTCCCACAATCTCCACCACATCCAATCCCCCCAACTCAAAGACACGCAAGCACGCATAGGTACAATACATACCCACTCACCAGCCCGCTCACCGACCCCGCCTCAACCCTCACCCTCCCCTCCGCCGGCGTCGTCACCACAAACGCATCGAACTGTGCATTCGCCGAGGCATTCGAGGCATTCGAAGAATTCGCCAAAGCATTCACCCCCACTCCCTCCAAAAGGCAGAACTCAAAATCCCCCGCATGCGCCGGGATACGGCGCCTCACGAGGCCCACGAGACCCTGCGTGCCAGTGCCAGAGCAGGAGCTGGTGCCGTTACCGACCGCTCCCGCCGCAGCGGTGGCGAGCGTCGTCGCTAGTGCGAGGAGCTGGAGCTGCGCGATGCGGATGCGGACGCGCATTGTGGTACGAGAGCGAGGAAGGCTGGGGGAGAATTGAGCAAGCCAACCGCGCAAACCCAAAGTCCTGATATAGGTGCAAGGATCCCGCCCTGTTTCCTCACGCGTGCATGCATAGGTACATAGCGGCGGCGCTGTGACGTGCGTGCCGCAACCTAGCTGAGCTGAGGGTTTTGGCCGGGTAGCCGCGATGCGCATGGGATAGGACGACGCTTCAGCGTTACGCACTGACTGACTGCAGCCAACTCCTCTGCACGCGCAGAAAACAGCAAAAAAGAACAACCTTGCACCTACGGATTTCAACTGCGTGTCCATTTTCTCATCTACTACCTACCTACCACCACTACGCTACCTACCAACTAAAGACCTGGCGACAGGGCCATGGAGGTATCAACTCAAACGCACTTCCATACCCGTGCCAAACCCAACCATGACCTACGGCGCGCGCGCGCTGCAAACGGAAAGAGCGGGGTAGAGACAGCATCTCCCTTCGTTCCATCGTCCGCCGCCGCCGCATGCAGCTTGGGACCTAGCAGCCAGCCGCGATCCCACACTTCCTTCCCAGCCGCCCGATACCCGGGCCGTGCCGTCCCGTCCTGCCCAGTCTAGTGCCGCCCGTGGTAGCCCAACCATCCATGCCTAGGTGCCGGGGCAACCTTTCTCCTTCCCGAGCGCGACCACCTTAGGTCCATGCCCAACGCCGTGTCCTTGATTGTTTCATCCGAGAGCCCGCCCGCGATTCCGTGCGCGTGTTTGCTTGCTTGCTTGGGGAGAACAGGAAAGAGAAGGGTCCTTGGGTCGTGGTAGATGATGCCGAGGAAGAGAGCCGAAAGAAAAACGGAAGAAAAAAAGTTAAAAGGCGGAAGGTAAATCGAGGTAAAAAGTTTAAGTCAAACAAGCGCATGCGAAGGGAAACAGAAGCGAAGGGGGGATAGGAGATCGTAACCTATCCCGTCAAAAGTCGTGAAAACATCATCCATCAGAACCCTTTTCCGCAGACGGCCGCGTGTCACCTTCGGTGGCGGTGCAGGTACCTCCTTCAAGGAAACGTTTACAGTCTGCTGCCGCTGCCATGTAGTCAGGTGTCTTTCTGCACGAGCTCGACCTTCTTCAGCATGTGCGGAAACAAAGGATGGCTCTCATCCAGACCGGTGATCTGGAGCGTCGCCTCCTTGGCGTCCTTTTCCTTCAGGATCTTGGCCAGCTCCGCGCTCTCCTCGTCGCCCTCGACATTTTGGAAGCGCAGCGCCATCTCGGCCGCGTTGACCAGGTTGTCGAAGCTAGCGCCCATCTCGGCCAGTTGGCTGGCGGGGCCGACGAAGCGCTCCTTGCGTGACAGCTTACGCAGCGGTGCGCGACCGACACGCTCCACGGCATCCTCGAGAGCTGGATTGCTGATGCGAGCGATGATCTTCTCGACGTAGTCCATCTGCTCTTCCTCGCTGATGCCGTGCTTGGAGGTGACCAGGTGCGCCGTCTCCTTCAAGGCTTCGCGCACAAGGTCATGGATCTCCTTGTCGTGCATAGCGTCGTGGATGAGCTTCTTGCCGCGAGCCTTGCCGTAATACGCCGCCGTGGCATGCGACGTGTTGACGGTGTACAGCTTGCGCTCAATGTAAGGCTCGAGATCGTCGACAAAGTGGACGCCGTCAATCTCGGGGTGTTGCGTGCCCTCAAAAGGCGGCAGCTCGACGCACCACTCGAAGAACTTTTCGATCTTGACGTTGAGACCTGCGTCGGGATCCTGCTGGGGCACAATGCGGTCAATAGCACTGTTGGCGAAGCGCGCCCTGTTGTCAAGGTCATCCTTGGTCGCCTGCGACAGCCTCTCCTCGATGAAGCCGCGCCACGTGTTGGTCGCGTTGATGGCGTTCTCACACGCAATGACGGCCACGGGGTAGTCAGCTTTTCTCGCCTCAATACCCTTTGCGACTGGCTCTGCGATGAACTTGAGGATGTTGGGACCCACGGCACACGTTACAACATCTGCAGTCGCGATCTCCTCAATGACCTGGTCCATAGAGTATTTGCTGTTCAGCGCACGGTAGTGGTCGATGTCAAACTCCCTCTCGCCTTCCTCGCCAATTTCCGTGACGGTGTAGTGGTGGACGCTGTTCAGGGCGTCGATGATTTTATCCATGACATCAACAAAGATGACCTCATAGCCAGACTTGTGCAGACTGTGAGCAGTGTCAGTGGAGCGCCGCGTAAAAAGTGGGGGGAAGCGCATCGCGTCGCGGGGGACTCACAACTCTGCGACGAAGCCACGACCAATGTTGCCGCCGCCAAAGTGAACTGCCTTCTTCTCATACATGGTTGTGGATGCGCGTTGAGGCAAGTATGGGTGTTGAAGATTGCGGGGTGCTGCAGGTGGTGAGGGAGTGGTGTGCGGGAGCTGTAGAGCAACGCGGTCAGCTGCAGTCGAGGGAAAAGTGAGGGAGGGAAGAGGGCAGAACTCACGGGTTAAGTAGGTAGGAAGAGGGACACGCGGGTGAGGAAAAGAGTTGGGACGAAGGAAGAGTATGTTGTGGTACGGCGAGCGGGCTAGAGCGGAAACTGCGGGGTATATAACTGCGCGGACTGGCACACGCCCTCACGCGTCACGCCGTGTTGCATTGGAGAAAGCATACGGCGAATAATACCGCAAGGCGGGCGTGAGTGGCTGCGACGACATTCCGTCGGGCGTTTGCGGCTGATTCGTAACCTAAGGCCGTGATACGATCACGATCAGGAGCGCGGTCGGCCCTGGCATGCTGGATTCTGGAGCCCCTCAGCCCCTCGGATCGAATCTGGAGCTTGGATACGTCACCTCCCGCAATTATGGGGCTTTTCTGTACGGAAGTGGCCGGCGACCCTTCCAACGTGCCAGTTTCATTCCACGCGGCGTAGAGTAAGAGAAGGGGAAGAAAGTTTGGCTGCGTGCATGTCTCACGGAAACGGCTAATTGCTTCAGGCACCAACAGAGCTGCCCGTTCCGTCCGTGTTGTCGCCAGGGCCTCTCAGAGTCTGTCGACCCACTGGGCAATTGCACCTTGGCCTTGGATCGTGGCAATGGCATGAGGAGTGACGATGCTCACGATAGCTCCAGTCGAGAACCGGCTGGGCGATCGAAATTACTCTCAGTCTTGGTCTCCCCAGCCTCGCCGCGCCTCACCCTCACCCAAAACAACCCCCCCAATATCGCACCACCAGCGGCCCATGCAATTTCGGCCGCGCATTCTTTAGGTTCGCATGCGTGCATCAGCCCCGCGACGCCTGCCCCTCGCCTCTCTCCAGTCTCCGCCCTGGGATTGGCCCGGAGCTCTCCCGCCCCGCAACACCGCCCAACTTTCCAGGCACACCGCCTCGTGACTGCTCCCACGATGAGCCCTTCCTGCCCAGCTTCACCGGTGCGGGCTGCCGTGCCTCCCTGCAAACTGCCTTGGCAATTTAATACAGACTTGACTCTCAAAACTCAATCTTCGATCTAGCCTGTCGCACCACTGCCATCACGTGGAAGCCACTTCAGCGGACCGTTGACCGTTGCTCCGAGGTTCCCGTAAGTAGCCGAGGATACCCCGGCAATGCAATGCATCGTGAGTCTCCACCACCAAGGAACGAAACTTTGGCTGTTCGCAGCCTGTCTGTCCTTTCTAGAACCTTCCCACTGGCCCCGACCGCAGCACGACTCCTGAGCAAAACTCTCTCCAAGTGGAGCCATGTAACGCTTACCAGGCACACCAAAAGGCACCAGCGCGCAAAAAATTTCCCTTCTTTGATCTTTTCGGGACGGGAGTCACAGAGCAAGCTTCGGGATGGCATCGCCCGTCCATTGCAGCAGGACACATGGTTCAGGACCGGGCTCTGGATGGATGGACGGGGACCGAGCAGCACGGACGCCGCCGCCAAGGGCCCATGGAAAGGTCAAATGGACAGAGTCGGGCGGCGCGGGCCAATACCACGATAACCATGGCAGTAACCTTCCGTTGATCAGCCACGACTGGCAAGTCGATCGCGCATTGGGTGCGGAGGACACGCAGCAGGCGTCGGGTAAGGGGACCGCGTCCACCGCGACGCTGGCTCCGTGTGAGACTGAGACGCAACGCAACGCACGCACGCGCGCATGCAACCTACCTACTCTGTAAATACTAGTGGCACGCTGCTACAATATCCACGCTGGCAAGGGCGCCCGCCCGCCTACTCTGACTCCGACTGACTGACTCTATCCTCCACCAACACACTCCCCTCATCACGATCACGCACCCTCCACCACCCACCACCGCCGCATCCTCATAAATCCCGCGCCCTCATCGCCAGATCTATTAGCTTCTGCCCAACACACACCACCACCCACCACGCTCCTTCCACTTTCCCGTTCGGTGCCAGCGCCAGACCCCGCCTTCCCCTTCCACATTCCACTTCCACTTTCACTCCCGCCCGCACGCTCAAAGCTTCCCCGCTTCCACTTTCGCTCCGCCAGCCCGCTTGTGTTGCCCCGCTTGCCCGCTGCCTAGCCCGCTGCCCGACACGCTGACTAAGCTGCGCGTGTGCGCTGCCCCGCGTCTGCGCCGTGCTGGGGTGCTAGGGCTGACTCTGGCAGTCGCACTCGCTGACACTTGACACTGGCTCTGACAAGACACTGGCGCTGACAGCTTACTACCACGCACCACGCATCCATCTATGTATGTATGTACGTACGCGACGGCAAACAGCAGCGCAGAGTAGACGCGGCTGGCGGCTTCGCGTAGGTGCTGTGTGTGTGTGTGTGTGTATGTACGGATCCGTATGTACGGTAAGCAGCTGTCAGGTAGGCGTAGGTGTAGGCGTGGGTGTGGCACACAGCCTGGCATTTGCACGAAAATGACGCCCACGATGCCCTTGTTTTTTGCGCTGTCCCAAACGACCCTCACGCCTTCGCTGCTGGATGCTGGATGCCGTCTCTTCCCGTCTCTTTCTCACAAACAGTGCACACGTTCCGCGCAATATCTTTACATACACACACGCATGCGCGCCCTCCCATCAGAACCCGTAATATTTGATACACACGCACGCAAGTCAGCCGCTAAACGCTAGACACCAAAGCCAAAGTTAGATACATAGATCGCGAGATACAGCCACGTAGTAGCCGCTCCTCCCGCCCCGCGTGCCTTACCACGTACCTAGTTAACCTTACCCCGCGGCGTAGGCCGGGGTTGCAGGGGTGTCGGGTGTCGGCGGACATCGGGTCCTTCGGGTCGCACGCTCGGGTCGCGCCGGGTCGTGCGCGGGCTGCGCGGGCGGGGCGGGGGGGCTGCCTCCGTGCTGTGTTCTGTGTTCTGTGTTCGCTTATGGGGGGGTGGGCTTGGGCTTGGGGTGGGTTTGGGGTGGTGCGTTTACTGTACATGTACGGTGTTTGAACAGTGGAGTGGGAGGGAAGGACTGGTTTGTTGTATTCATTTTTGGGTGGTTTAGTTAGGTAGGTAGGTATTTAGGTAGGTAGCTAGCTAGTTTGGGGGAAAGTGGGGAAGTGCTGGGGTGTTTTCTACCTAAATTAAGAAAGCAAGAAGCAGAAAACAAGGGTGTTAGAGGGGGTGATCTTGGGGATGTGTGTGTGATGCCTTTGTGCTGTTCCCTCCGCGTCTGTCGCCTGTGTGTGTGGTGAGTGGGAACGCTGAAGTTCGTGTCCTGAATGAGTCCTGAATACATAGCATCGCCTGCCTGTGAATCCCTCGTCTCGAGCCGAGCATTAGCAGGTAGGGCGCCGTGTCCGTGGTCTTAGGAGTGAAGCAATTTAGCGGCCTTTGTGGTCAAGTGCCTCTCCCTGTTCGTAAGCAGTGGTTTTCGGAGGCTGTTGATGGCCGCTTAGGCTGGGGTATGGGTGTGCTGAGGTGGTTGGGTGTGCAGTCTGGTTGGTGCAGTGGTGTGGTTCAGTGTCAATTTGTTTGGTGGGTTAGCTGGTGGGCTGTAGCAGACTTTGTGGATGTGGATGTGCAGTCAGTTTGCTGTACCAGTGCCCGTGATTGTTTGTGCTGTGAGGTGATTGTTGTGGGGCTTGGTGTTGTCTGCTTGTCTTTGACGCATGCTTGTGTGTGGGTGAATTGTCCTGATGGAGATTAAGCCAGGTGTGGCAAGTCTCTGGAGCTTAAGACTCCCGTTACTTAGCAGGCTCTTGAATTAAGCTTCTCAGTTTCTTGTGGATCTTCTCAATGCGGTGATCGTCTTGAGTGTCGTTGAGATGCGGCAGGATAACCTCCCACAAATCCTTCAGTTGTTCCATCTTCTCCTTAGATCCACGGAGCAGGCCGAACTCCTTCAAGTCTGCTTCATATCTGATCCATTTGCTTTTCATGATTTCATAGTTGTCCGATACCTGTTTGATAATTTCGCTCTCGCGGAAACCCTTAGGGACTGTAATTTTGCCGAGGAGAAAATCAATGACATCCGAGTCAGAGACCGTGGTGAGATCTTTGCCATATATTTCATAGATGAAATGCAAGCCAGAGATCGAGCCGATCAACTCGAGAACATTCATCACCTCGTCTTTGCCGTTGGCCTCTAAGTATTCGGGTGTAAACTTAGCCGTCTCCAGTTTTTCCAGGTTTTCCATCGCTTGAAGAAATGGCTTCTTCGTCTCGTGGATCTTGGCAACCATCTCCTCGAGGCTCCTGCCTGACTCCTGCGTCTTGTCGGTCGGCATTGCGTCACTGAGTCGTTTCGTCAAAGTGAGGTTTGCTTGTTGACCAAGTGGATTGGCGTCTACTCCGCGAGTAGGGTATGACTCGGTAGCCGACGTTGAAGGGTGATAAAGATTAGAGTCTTCGTGTGAAGAGGTGAAAGCTTATCGGACGTTGACGTGCTACTGCAGTGGTGGAAAGATGGAAGGTTTTAGTCGGGTGGGAGAACTTATAGATTGCTCTTCTCCAGTTATGCCGAATTTGGTTAGGCTACTAAACTGTCTATTGAGCGGTCATTTCTACGCGGCAATACTATTGTTCCGTCGTCTCTGCCCGTAGTTGGTTTCTTTGTTTGATCTTTCCCGTTGTTGCGTATGATTCTCCAGTCAAGAAGACACTAGCATCAAGGCCATCTGCACTATAGTTTTAGCAGCAGTCACATTCAAAGTTACTAAGATAGGAGTATGGTTTTCCATTTTTCTACATTTTTTGGGGTTTTCTAATTTTTTAAGTGTTTTTGTGTTTTTCTCCGCCTGTTTTTCTAAGGAAAGAGGAATAGGGAAAACAAAAGAAATCAGTGCAGGTGTGTAGGGGTGTATCAGGGGTGGGGTGGGGTAGTTAGGGGTACGGAGCAGGGGTGGTGTTAGGGTGGATGCTGTGTCAATTTGGTCAGTGAATCAGACTGTTTGACAAATCACCATGTATGCGAGGCGTTGCACCAGAGAGCAGGTGAAGTCAAACCTTTGCAGTTTGAGACTTCACCACCAGTCGAGACTAATGCAGATATCGTAGATGGCCAAAGCCCTCAGTACCACAAGAAACGCCCGTAAGTTTCTGAACTGCTCTCCCAGCGCCTCGAGTTCCGGCTCTCCGACATTCCTCCTTTCCCGTGTCGTAGCAGCCTCGATACCCACCAGCATGCCGAAGTCGATCCTGGCCACAACCTCCTGCAGCTTGCCTGCGTACAACACGGCCTTGGCTTCATCGGCAGTCAACTCGTCCGTGGTGACCTCACCAGAGCGTCTGGCATCCTGGATCGACTGCTGGATCTTCTCCGTCTCAAGGTTGGCAAGTATCTGGAATTTCTCCTCGAGATTCATGTCCGTGCTGGCGTCCTTGAACTCGTCGGTTGCTGCCTCGGAGTGCTCCATCAAGAACTCAAACAGATCTTCCGTCAAAGACAGCAGCCCCCGAGCCTGCTCCTCATACTCATCCGTTATTTCAGACGACATTACGTCACTGGACCGTTTTTTCAGGGTGTGCTTTGCTTGTTAGCTAGGCGTAGGCTTGAGATTCCTTGACAGTGAAGGCTTCTCGGGTGTCGGCTTTCTGTGTAATGAGAAAAAGTAGCAGATTGTGCTGAGCGGAGGGTTTGTATAGCATTACTTCTCGGTAGGCCTACTGCATTGTCTATCGAGTTATATATTAATTGTGTTCTTGTATGAAGATGATGTTGCCACGTCGTTTTTGTTTGTGGCCAACCCCAACTTAGGGCCCTGACTTGTTCAATCGTATATACCTGTATTGTACCGTGTCAAATCAACCCAATCACGGCCCTGATTCGGTGTCGTGGTGTGATCAGTACTGACTTAATCCCGGGGTTCGACCATCAACACCAAGATGCCATAACTACTCTGCCATCTTCGTGCAGCCGCTTAGCTTGATACGTCGAGGCTCTAAGTTAAGGGTGGGGTCATATACACGTAATCCAATCCAGTCAACTAGTCGTCTGTTTCCTCCTCGCCATTATAAGAGCCACTGTCTATCACCGTGACACATCAATCGACATCCAAATCGCAAATCATTTCATGTACGTACTCACCTTCATATTCTGGCTTCTTTCCTGAGTTTCCTCCACAAATTTTTCAATTTATTGTCTATCCTCTCATCTTTCAATCTTTCAATTTTTATCCACCAACCGGCCACGTCTATCATCTTCGATCAACCTCCCTTTCCGTTGGCAAGTGTCCCAGCTTCATGTCTAACAATGCTTATGACCGCAACCCTCAGAAGCAGCTTCGGGAGCCTTCTCGTGCGCACTCAGCCGCGGCGAGCCCGGCACAGCCGGACGCGCGCAGTTCCAGCGACAGCAGCCACTCGAACTGGGGCTATGGCCGCAGTTCTCGCACGACCAGGCGCTGGAAGAGTTGCTGGAGTAGCACTGGCAGCAGTCCCAGTAAGGCATGTTGGCTGGTGTTGCGGGGTTGTGTTGGTGGGTATGGTCGGGGATATGGTGTTGTACTGTGTGGGCTCTTGACCTTGTGTGTGGTGGTGGTGGTGCTGACGCTGGTGAGTATGCTGGTGGAGCTCAATATTGGCTCGGGACAGAGATGATGTACCCGGAGGGGATTGGGTGTGTTGTTCGTGTACAATTCGGCGTGCTGCGTGATAAAGCCATTGTCAACTGTAGCGCGGAGCGGGACAATGAGTTTGCGCTCCCCTTTGTGTAGGCTTGGGCTTTTTCTGTCTTGCTCTTCCTTTTTTAAACACCACCTATCTTTCTGTTGCTCCCCATTGCTTTCTAAGTTAAGAGCTCTCAAATGCGAAATTGGAATCCGGCTTTCTTCTAGCTTCCTGCCAGCTTGCTTGGTTTTTGAGTAGGCAAATGCCTGCCAGTACGAGACAATGTTCGGGATGTGCGTCATGGATTTCAAATGTGAAGTTTTGGATCAGAAGAGCACCTGGTTTTATTGAGCGCTGGTGAAGTAAAGCTGTCGTGAAGTTCCCTCAACTTCGTTGTTTGCTGCCTGCTCATGAAGTTGCATTTCTCACAATCTCATTCACTGCATTATGCAAGCCAGATTCATCCACAACCATACATTCTTTGAGTAGTCTATCAAACCGCGCAGCTCCAGGCTTCCATTACCAAGTCTCCAGATTCCTCCAGTGAATACCATCAAATCCTCCAAAAGTCGCACCAAGCAGCAGTATCCCAAATCCTCCAGAATCCCTCGAACCAAGCAGCAAGTCCCAAATCCACCACCAAATCCATAAAGTGCAGAACCCATCGCACCGAGCAGAACTCTCCGCACCCACCGTCATGTGCATGCCCATCAACCACCAAGTCACCGCCTAACTCTCACTACCGCCACCACCAACAAACACGGACCGCGAGCTAAGCGCAAGTCAGAGTCTGAAAGCGTGGGGAGGACGAGGAAGGGGCGCCGGGGAAGAAGAGCCGCAGACTTCGATGAGGGAACGAAAACCGCAACCGCCGAGCACCGCCTAACTCTCACTACCGCCATCACCAACATCACGAACTGCGAGATATGCGCAAGTACCGTGCCTGAAGGCATGGGGAGGACGGAGGAACCACAATCGTCGACTGAAGCACAGAACGGCAAGAAGTTTGCCAGTACCATGGCGGTGAGGGGCGTCGAGATAGTGGGAGAACTTTCTTTGGAGTCATGTTCTCTGGTGTTTTTGGTTTTTGCGGGTTTCGAGAGCGGAAGGGCGAGAGTCGTTGGGTGGTCTGCCGGATCTTGTCCGTGAAGAGCGAAAGCGGTTGTAGACGGAGTGAGCAGGAAAGGCTCTCGGAGTTGGTAGTGCGCAGTGAGGAAGCGCGTTCGTGGCGGACGAACAGTGGTTAGACAGTACTTCCAGGCCAGCCGCCGAAAGAAAAAGAAGATGTCGTGAGAGCAGTGCAATTGAGTGAGCAGTAAATGCCCTCGATGAAGGTAGCGCCGGGCTGAGCAGCGCGTTGGATGGCAGGACGAGCAGCCGGAGAATGGTGCTTCGAGTCGAGTCCGTGATGAGATTGTTTTCGAAGTTCGAATTTGTAAGGCATGAAAACAGCAAAAACATCCGTGGAGAAGTGAGTAACTGCGATCCGAGTGAGCAGTGGTTAGTAACCTCTGGAGACAGTAGAGAATAGCGCCTAATACAGCAAGCAGCCAGCACGAGGCGAGGACAGAAGCCGAGAGATGAACGACGGGAGTTGGTATGAGAAACTCCCGATATTGCTCAGCACCTAGGACATGGGAGCATTGCTGAGGATCTCGCCGATATTGCTGAAGTCCCCCTCGAAAACAAATTCGGAGCCCCCTTCGAAAACATTTTGGAAGTCCTCGTCGAAGTCGCCATCGTTCGTGTCGTCCCAGCTGTGGTCAAGGTAACGATCCAGCATGTCGATGTCCACAGACACCTTAAGCTCCCAATTCATGATGTTGGGATCAACATCGACGCTGATGTCACACATTAGCGCGCGGTCGGGATTAGAGTTGAAGGCCTCTTTCAGACGCTTCATCCGAAGGAGACAGATATTGCGAAGTTGGTTTCCAACGCGGTCCCTCGTTTCGTCGTCAGCACCAAGACTCTCCACGAAGCGGAGGTATTGGCCCACAAAGTCGACAACTTCGTCGCAGAGAGGGTTCTCGCTCACGGGCTGGCTGATGATGTACAGCGATGCCTGGCATATCTGGCACAAGAACATCGCCGTCCGCCGCCAGTAGTACAACTCGATAATCACAGCTTCGTCGTTGTGAAAGCCCGCCTGATCGATGTACTCGGAATTCCACTGAAATCCTTTGTCAATGCGCTCTCTGAGCCTCTCAAAAAATCCTCCCATCTCTTTGAACATGTCTCTGATACGGAGGGCGAACTGCTGGCGCTCACTGGCCCACAGCTTCTCGCGTAGTAGTGGGTTATGGCCCAGCGTACGCTGGCCGACACGGTACATCTGAGGTTCTTCCTCAAGACGCTCCGTAAGGCTCAGCACGTAAGAGTGGTCATGGAGGCCTTCGGCTCTCTCAGCAATGTCCTCGGCGATGGCGAGGACCTTCATATCCTTGGCGTTGGGATCGCGATCCATGGTCATCTTGCTTAGGTACACGCGGTGTTCGGTCGCGAATCTCTCGGCGAGCTTCAAGAAGCTGCTTTGAGCAATCTTCTCACAGTTGTCAATCGCCGTGTAGTTTTCTACCGCCACCCAGGAATCCCATTTCTCAACCACGGTCGAGAGTATTCGGGCCATGTGGTCGTATAGAACGTCGTTCGCCATGGAATGATGGAACGTGTCGTAGAGGTCACCTGCAATAAGATCGAGCGTCGGAATATCCATTTCCGTGGCGCTGAAAGTGGCAGGTTTATTACCATCCCGCTTGTTGATGTTGTTAACATGTTCCTGAAGGATAGACATGTTTTTGATTGCTTTCTCCAGCTCAGCTTTGGCCTCTTCGGTGTGTCGTTTCTCGGTTTGAAGGTCGAGCTTCATTGTCTCTTCGTTGCTGTACATTTCATTGAACTTCTTCTTCATGTCTTCGCACCATGAAGCCTTCGCTTTCTGCTCCTCAATCAATTTCTTATACCTCTTATTAAGTATGCTTCCACCCTCCTTGAGTTGTTTAACCTGCTCCTCCAACTCCTTGTTGATTAGGGTCGAGTTGGCATTCGCTCCGGCATTGTTGAGCTGCTGCTCCAAGGAAGTTTTCTCCAGTTCGACCTCGTGGAGTCGAGACTCGACGGCCTCAGCTACTTCCGTCATTCGATCCGCCCGTTTTTTCTCATTAAGGGCACGCTCCCGCTCTAGCTTGTGCAATTCCTGGTAGGTGGCTTGTTGCTCCAAATCTTCTACAGCCTTCTTGAAGTTGGCGCGCATCTCGTCCTCTTTTGTCTCTGCCACTGCCTTCAGCTCTTGTTCATCAGCCAGTTGTTGCTTCAAATTAGTCCTCTCATTCTCAAGCTGGCGCTGAAGTTGTTGAATCTGGGCATTGGCGTGTTGAATCTGGACATTGGCTTGGAAGACATTTGGGTTTGCGGCTCTTGCGCCGGTTATGGCGTTCGCAACGGCCGTGTTTGTCCTGTTCGTCTCACCAGCCAGATGCTTCTTCAGCTGCGCAGTCTCACTCTGGAAACGTTGGAGCTGCTGGTTCAGCTTCGCAGTCTCACTTTGAGAAGCCCGGAGCTGCTGGTTCAGCTGCGCACTCTCACATTGAGAATTCTGGACCTGCTGCTTCAGCTGTCCAATCTCATTCTTGAAACCCTTGACCTCCTCTTTACATTGATCGAAGAAGTTCTCCGTTTCGGCCCTTTTTGCCTCGAGCTCGGCCGTACCCTTTTCGTAGAAGGATTCTCTATCTTTGTTCGCCTTAGCGGCATTGGCCTTCTGGGTATCGACCTCGGACCGGAGTTCCTGCTTCTCAGACTCGTGCTTGGAGTTGAGTTGTTTGGTGGCAGACTCGTGCTTGGACTCGAGTTGCTTGATGGCAGACTCGTGCTTGCGTATGAGGGCGCCGATTTCGGACTGGTGGCCAAAGTTGAGAGCCTTGATCTTGCCGTCGTTCATGGAATGGAGGTCTCCGAGCTCAGGTGCCTTGATAGTGAGAGGGTTGTTGGCTTTGGCCTTCTCTTCGGCCAGCTGCTTGTTAAGATTCTTGATCTCAATTCCCGAGGACTTGCTAGAGGCCTGGAGGTCTTGGATGAAAGATTTGATGGCGTCTATGGGGCTCTGGCCAGGGCTGTTTTGGATACCGAGCTCCCTCTGGACGTCCTTCTTGAGGTTACCAATGGTTATATTTGACTTGGTCACCTTTTCCTTCAGGGTGTCGATCTCCTTATCTCTTCCCGAGAGGGCCTGCCTTAGATCAGAAATTCTACTGTTGTTAGCGTTGATCTGGCGGTTGAGTTGCTTCACCTCAAAGGTGAGTTGATTTGCTTCCTTTGAAGATTCCTCATGAAGCTCCTTGTGTGCTTTCTTGGCTTGCTGAAGGCGTTCTTCCTGAAACTTCGTGACTTGCTCCAGGTTGGCCTTCTCTGTTTCAAGGGCAACAATGACCTTCGACTGGGAGAAATAGCTGAAGGTGAGGCTAGAGAACACCGAGCAGGAAACTCTGATCACCTGTGAGAGGTAGAAAGCAAGCTCTACAAAGGTTCCATGATCCATAATAGGAAAGCAAGGACGCCAATATGCCGCAGGTAAAAGGATCCAGAGAAGTGTGTTGCCACCGGGGAGTGACATGTTGCTGCATTCGCTTAATTCGTCTGAGATTAGCAGGGGAAGGGCTCCGAACAAAGCGTAAATGGCCGTCAAGGCTGTCGAAACATCGTCACGAGCCTCGCAGAGCAGAAGCTCGATCACGGTGAAGATGTTGCCGGGGAGGGAGTGTAATAAAGTAAGAGCGAGGCCGATGTTGATGCTAGCGAAGGTGAAGATGGTTCCGAGAGGCGCCTGGGAGTTTGAGATGAGGTTGCCGGCAGCAACCAAACCGGAAGCCGATGTGATGTGGAACGGCGGGATGGCAAGGAACCAATCTCTGCAAATGAGAGCGACCGTGGCGAGGAGTTGACAGAGGCGATTGCGGTTGACCATGGAGAAGACGCCGTACATGACGTACAACGCGAGAGCGAAGCTGACCTCGCTTGAGGACGGCATGTTGTGAGAGTGAGAACGAGGTTACCTAGATGTGAGGGATGATCGTGAGAAAGGTGTGCTTGCGTGGGCGAAGGTTCAAATGTCTGATGACGATATGAGCGTCGCGAGAGTGCGGGCAAGGCTTGAGGGAAAAGGTAAGAAGAAGGTGGGAGGGTGGGCGGCTTTATGGACGCAAGATTTCGCTTAGCGAGCTTTAAACGAGGCAGTTTCACTATGCCTGGTGAATCTCTGTTAAAGTAAGTGAAATGTGGCTAGGTAGTCAAAGGGCGTGCGTTGACGGGTGGCTGAGCGACGACGTGCCAGTCGCCGCGCGCAAAAGCAAGCAGGTTTCTTCGGACAGCCACAGCATACCTATCATGCCAACAGCCCCCGCATGGCTTGGAGGGAGAAAACGCCGGCGATGTGGAAGCGAATGGCAGGTTATCGTGAAGTGACGTTGGAACGACTGCCCTTAGGTACTGAGCATTTGACTTCTGATCCTGTGCACAAGATGGCATATGATGTCCACAGGTGCATCACTTTCAATATTAGCTAGCTGATTTGCTTGAATTGGGTCGGAAATGTGCTGCGACTACGTTGTGGCTTTTGATGTATCGCGAGTCTTGGCATGGTGGTGAGTAGGTGTTGCCGGGGAGCGGCACCACCACAACTTGACAAAAAATCTACGTACCTGTCGCGCAATTTCAATGGTCCAATCTACCTGCTTTATTTTTCTCTCCGTTTTTAATTATATCAGGGTTGATATTATCAAGCCCTATCAAGAGCGACACGGTAGTTGTACACCGATTCTCATGAACTGTAGCTCGGACAGGGGTAACACTGCTTCGAAGACAGCTGGCACTATTAAGTTCCCCGGAGTAGACAGGTATTTTGGTCGTGAAAACGGAGCATTGAAGTCTGCTACGAAATTGCAGGCATGCCCACTTGTGAGCAGGTCATTTTGGGAAGAATGGCAGGAGCGTACATAGGAGACAATGCAACCCAAACCAAGCATCTTTAGCTAGTTTATTAGAAGCGGAGTTTATACTTAATAATGATAACAATATATAAACGAGTTTCCCTCATAGGACAGGGTCGCGGATTGAAGAATACCTCAGAGTCTACGTCAACTGTTGTGCTTTTAGAATACAAATAGGAGAGGGCAAACCAGTATTACCTTTGTCCGCAAATCACAATGCCAGCAAAAAACATTTCCTTTGTCATGGTCTGTTTGTCACCGAACAAACGATCCAAGACCTCATTTGCAGTACGTCTTTATGCACAGCATGCTAGCCACCGCCAGCAGGGCAGCGGAACTCTAGCCCATCACAGCAGCGACCTCAACACCTAAGCCACAGGAGCTTTATCCTGCTCAGGCAATGCCTCCACGATACCCCCACTCTCATTCCTCGTCTCCAGCATCCAGCGCCAAAGCTCCAGATCAGCATACGCGTCGGTCCAACAATCATGCGCCGCATTCGGGTACCTCGTAAACTGCACCTTCTGCGCCCCGGCCTTTTTCAGAGCATCCACCATCTTCTTGCTCTGCGAGATGGGGATAATGTCGTCAAGCTCTCCGTGATGCACCCACTGCGGCACATGCTTGATTTGCGACGCGCGGATCATGTCCGCCCCGCCGCAGATCGGGGTTAGGGTCGCGAAGCGCGCGGGCGTGTGCAGTGCGAGGTCCCAGATGCCGTAGCCGCCCATTGAGAAGCCTGTTAGGTGGATGCGCGCAGGGTCAACGCGGAAGGAGGGGAGGATGGTGTCCAGGAGGGAGGTTAGGACTGAGGCGTTCCAGCCATAGCCGTTGTCTGCGGAAACACTGAGCTGAGGCTGGGGAGAGGAGCGACGACATTGAGCACTTACTCATGTTCAGGACGGGAGTGACGGTCACGAACTCTTCGGCGACTATCTTGCACACGTCCTCTGATACGGGCGTGCTCGAGAGATCTGCGTCGCCCCGATTCTTTCCCTTGTTTGGGTTACGTCCGCGCAGCCGTGGCGCAAGCGGGATGTCGATTGACGGCTCGGCGCCGCCTTTGAGTTTGTCGTAGCAGAGAATGATCTTGGGTATGCCGTGTCGCAAACAGGCGTACGACTCGTTGGGGCCGCGCTGAGACTCTCCCGCGCCGTGCAGGAACATGACCAACGGCCAGGACTTGTCAAGTTGGGTCTCGTAAGTCGGCGGGACGGACACGAAGAATTCATAACCGTAGGGTGCGGCAGATACGGTCTGCTCGTAAAAGGTAAACGATATGTGCTTTGTCTCGGCGTAGAGGTGGCCCGGATCCAGAGGCTGCGGTGCAGACATGATGCTACAGATGCTTGAGCGTCGATTGTAGCGGCTGATAGCGGGGGACGCAAGAGGCAGGTCTGGCAGCGGATCCATTCTAAGACTGATGTGCGGATAGGAATATATATAGCTCGTAGTGGTGCTCATCACGGGCTGAGCTCTCGCGGAGCCGTGTCGCCACCCGGCCTGACTCTTGCCTTACATCACTGTGCCCTATTCGGAGGCGGCGAACTGCTCCGACCAATCCTTGAGGAGATCTCTATAACGGGTTTGATGAGGCCCTTGAAGAGCAGGAGCGCTCAGCACGGCCACGGCCACGGGTCAGGGAGACGTGAGAGGCCCTCGATTGTCGACGTCATGGTGCTGTACTACCTAGGTACGGGACGAGATTGCTGTTACTGCGCGCATGCCGGAATCACGTGCAGAGAGTATTCATGGCGATGTGCAGTGAGACGTGGCCGCCGCTTCATGGTGTTGGAGAAATTAGCTCGCGCGTGGGCGTGGACGAGCGCAAAGGCAGCGCGTGCAAGAAGCGTGCCAACAGAGCTCGGACAAGCTTTTGAGGCGTGAGCGACGGATGACGGTGGGGGCTGGACGGCAGGCCCCAGCCGAGATCTTCGCGCGTAGATCGCGCCGCCCTAGCAAACACAGGGATGTCATCGCTCCGTCCGCCCTTTGCAGAGCCTCTTCCCTCACAACAACCTCGGAGTATTCGTACCTACGCGCCCAAGCATGGCTAACGTCGCTCCTAAAGGCGAGGCCGCTGGCTACTACCAGGGCCCCGCTCAGCCCCCGAACGCCTACTATAACAACGCCCAGTATCAACCTCAGGACGCCCAAAAGTACCCGCCTCCTCCACCGCAGTACGGCCAAAATTACCCGCCTCCCAATGGACCACCGCCACAGGGCTACGGCGACAAGCCGAGTTTCGACCAGGCGTTCAAGATTGAGAGGCCCAAATGGAACGATTTGTGGGCAGGAATTCTGGTATGTGATTAACAGGGGGGTGTGGGGGCTTCAAACTGACGGATCGCAGTTCCTGATCGTGTGCGCTGGGTTTGTCGCCGTGTCTGGTATCGCGATCCAGGGCTATGGTGAGTGTCGCTTGACAGCTGCCGTTGCCAATCGCTAACTCGGGCGATCACAGCTGCTACCAAGGGCTTCAACGGCGGCGGAATCTACGACAGCGGCAACGACTTTGGCCTGTCCACGAACACTATTGTCCTGTTCATCTTCTGCCTCTGCGTCGCCATCGTCTTCAGCTATGCCTACGTCTGGCTCGCGCGAGCCTTCACCAAACAGTTCATCTGGATCACCGGCATCCTCAACATCATCTTCGGCTTCGTTACCGCCCTGTATATGTTGTCGAGGCACTACTGGTCCGGCGGAATCGTTTTCCTCATCTTCTCCATCTTTACCGTGCTCTGCTTCATCAGCTGGATTCCAAGGATACCGTTCAGTGTCGTGATGTTGCAGACCGCCATTGACGTGTCAAAGCGCTATGGGCATGTATACTTGGTCAGTGCCCTGGGTGGCATTGTTGCGACCGCTTTTGCAGCATGGTACTCTGTCACGTTGGTCGCGGTGTATGTCAAGTACGAGCCTGGAAACAACCCAGCGTGCAGCACCGGAGCAGGTGGCTGTGGGACCGGAAAGGTCATTGGCCTACTCGTCTTCATCACCTTTGCCGCTTATTGGATTTCCGAGTGGCTGAAGAACACCATCCATGTCACCATCTCCGGCGTCTACGGCTCGTGGTACTTCTGCTCGCATAACTTCCCCAAGGGCGCCACCAGGGGCGCGCTGAAGCGCAGTCTGACCTACAGTTTCGGTAGTATCAGTTTTGGCAGCTTGGTCGTGGCGATCATCAACTTCCTTCGTCAACTATGCTCTGTCGCGCAACGACAGGAAGCTAGCGAGGGAAACCTTGTCGGCACCATCCTCTACTGCATCCTCGGGTGCATCATCTCCCTTCTGGACTGGCTAGTCGAGTTCATCAACCGCTACGCCTTTTCCTACATTGCCCTATACGGCAAAGCCTACATCCCCGCAGCCAAAGACACCTGGACGTAAGTCACGACCCCGCCTCCCCACACACACACACAGACTAACAAACCCCAGCATGATCAAAAACCGGGGCATCGACGCCCTCGTCAACGAATGCCTAATCGGGCCGGTCCTAACCATGGGCGCGACATTCATCGCCTACGCCTGCGCCTTCCTCGCCTACCTCTACCTAATCTTCACCAGCCCGGCCTACAACCAAGGCGGCGAGTACACGCCGGTGGTCGTGGCGTTTGCGTTCCTGATCGGCCTGCAGATCTGCAACATTTTCACGACGCCGCTCGCCAGTGGCATCGACACGATTTTTGTGGCCGCGGCGTGGGACCCCGAGGTCTTGATGCGCGATCATCCGGACTTGTACGCCCGCATGGTCAGCGTGTATCCGCATGTGCAGCAGGCTATTCATGCGTAGGTGGGCGTGTAGTGTGGTGTGGTGTGGTGTGGTGTGGTGTGGGGGTGAGTGGTGGGGAGTGATGCTCTAGGGAGCTTGTCGGCATCGTTATCGTCATAATCACTATCATCGGCGGCGTCGTTTCGAAGCATGAAAATGCAGTAACACGAGTCCTGGCATGGGACGGGGGCGGGCGGAGGTAATTATTCAGCTTGGACAAGGAGGAGAAGTTGGAGCACGAAGCAGTAACGGCCGAAACACGCAACACTTAGCAATGACTGGTCTGTAGGAAGACGTGGTTTTGTCTGGTCGCGGCGGCTACTGTCGCTGTGCCTGTTAATTATTGTAATACTGTGAATGAATGCTTAATGTAGTTTTGTATGGTTGATGTGTGGGGTCAGGAAGTGGTTGGGGTTGCTTGTAGGTGGTTGTACTGTATGCGGATGGTTTGGAGATTGGGCTTTGCGGGGGTAAGTACTTATAGGTACTGCCTGCCTGCCAGGCTGCTTGCTGCGTAGTGTGCATACCTACAGAGGTACATACATTACTTAACACGCTCCCGCAGTCCCGTGAACAAAACCCCTACCCCAGCCCAACATCCCTCTCTCCACCAACCCTACCAACCTAATCATCCACACCACCCCACCCACCCATCTGGACATACCCATCCCACCCTCTCTACCTAATACGCCTCCCCAGCCCAACCCAGCCTAACCACAACCCACCATTCGCAAACACAAACATCAACGCCACAGACGAAAGCCAGCCAGCCATCCACCCATCCACCCATTCATCCATCTAGGCAAGCAAACGAACAAACAAGCACGCACACGCGCAAATGGGCACGCACGCATCGCACCGCACCGTAACATGCACGTCGCTGGCAGCCCGACACTCGCGCCCCTATCCCTGCGGCGATCGATCGCGCTTGCGGGTGTGGGTGCTGGTGTGGGTCTGGGGCTATGGGGGTTAGGTATATGTATGTAGGACGTAGCACGTAGGACGTAGCACGTAGTTACGTGCATAGGTAGGCGCGTGGGTGTGGGGGAGCGGTTGCCTGCTAGCAGCGACCTACCTGTATGTACCTAACTACGTGGTTAGGTAAGGTATAGGTAGGGAGGCGTTTGCTTGCTGTTCCTCCTTCTACTACTCTTACTACTGCTCATGCGCCTGCTCCTGCGCTCCCGCTCCTGCTGCTGCCGCGCGCGCCACAACGCGCTATTGAATGCCATACGCGAGCGAGTGCGCGTGTGCGACGAGACGGCTCACATTTCGCCTTGACGCGGCTCGGCGCGGTATGGCG